TTTGAGTATTAGTAGACTGTCTGCTTAATATCTGTTGATACGATCCTTCAACAGACATTTAACTCACTATAAGAAACTTTGCAAGTACATGTCAATTTACTCAATCCCTAACCCCAAACCCGACCTAACAGTCTACTTATAATCTCACGAGAATTAGTTGGCATGTAGATGCAATGTAACTTACATTCAATAAATGGACCATCAAAGTAAAATGTGACCAAAAAAATCTATTCAGTTCACCTATTGTGCCTTTTTAGTAAAATGAAATTGCTACTGTAATAAGACTACAAGTGCCTTTTAGGTTTAGCACATGAGAAAAGAAGGTAATATGCAATAAGCATTAAGTATTATAGTAAATAAATATACCAAGTGATTCAGGCAAAAAAGTATAGTATGCATCAACAACAGTTTCCTTACAAATCACTATGAAAACAAGAAGCTTCTGACTGACAATTAAGCAAATTCAACTGACCGGATCTTGATGTACGAGGTAATCTTTTAGACTCATATGAAATTATTTATATTTATATTTAACGACTAGCTATAACATAAATTATTTGACAAGCAGGACTGCCTATTTAGCTATAAGATACGTGTTTTAGAAATTGTAAGTTACCATTTGCACTTTCCAGTACAATGCTGATTCAGCCAGTCACCAAAGGCTTTTTAATATGTTTTACACAGCTTCATTTAATCCATTCATAACATCAAAAATAATTTTTCCAACAAAAAAAAAAAGGTTTAAAAAGTTAAGCCATTTTAGAGCTCTGGCAGTGTTTCCTTTTCTCTCCAGAGCCAAAAACACCTGGCAAGTCCTGGATTTCAAGCATTTTCTCACTACAGTATACGCTGGACCACTGTCCATCGGAAGGATTAAAAAGGCAGGATTTGTAGGATTTTCTTTTTTTCCTGGCACCAAAATCTCCAAGAGGCCCCCACAGGTTAAATGTAAGCAACATTCCCGGACTTTCCAAGAAGTCTGGAATCACCTAGCACCCATGTGCCCTTAGCACTTAAACTGTCACAGACCAGGAGCTTCACTTCTACACTTATGAAAGGTCCTTAGTAGAGTACATGCCCTGCCGTACTCTCAAATATAAGGCTGCTAAGTACTTATGTTTCCATCCATCTACTTATCGGATAAAAATGTTTAATGGAAACAGCAAGATTCACATAAAATGGGACAATTTACAATAAACTGAGTAGGATAAACTTTTTATCCCAGTTAAAAACAAATGTGTATAAACTACAATGGAAAAACTTTAACCAAATAGATTCCAGAATGCATATTAACAAAGTCATGTGACTTAGCTTTAATAGGAACAATTTATTAAGTGCAAAGGCAATCCACTTACTTGTCGGAACTGTGTGCAATGGGACAGCATTAATGGACATACCAGCAGTCTGACCACATTTTAAAATATCTAATAGCTGTTTTGGTAATTCTAAAATTCTTTTGACAAAGTCCATCATCAAAGTAGTTTGGCAGTATACTCTCCCAGAACTGTCTTGAGGGGTGTTGCGGCTCCAAAAATTATTGCACATTCACTGCACCTTAATGGGGCGCAAGTACTTTTTTTTTAAGAAAGAAAGTCGCTGCTCTTACCGCAGCAGATTCTATTTCTCTTTGTTATTTGCCATCAGTTTATCAGGAAGTGACAATTTTGTTATCTTTGACTATTGGGAAAGTTTCATTCACATCATTGGAAGGAAACATAGCTAATGTCTCATTTAATTTTGATAATGTTAAAGAACTGTCAAATGTTTTCCTGAATTCAGTAATCAAATAAAATTTGTAACTCTTCAGATATGACATTGGGAAATTATATGGGATTCTACAAAGGTTTATGTGCCACCATTCAGTTGCGCACAATCTCTCCTCTGTGGCCTTTAAGCGTCCTTGAACTGACAGTCTCTCTTTTTGAAATATGTTTTAAATAATTCCACAATATATTCAGAACGGGTGGATGATTTTCTTCCCGTGACTTGGGTCCAAGCTCAACACACCTATGAAATCACGGCAAGGGAAACGGTAACATCTAAGGCAAGATGCAGAAAAGCAAGGGGAAACTTGGTAAACATGACACAACTCTTGTAAATACAGCTGAAATGGAAGAAGGAGGGCGAGAGAAAAAGAGAGAAGGAGGGAAAGGCCTGGCAAACTGCAAAGTGGCCATATTTTAGCAAAAGTGACTTTTCTGATTATGCCTGTCGCATGACTTTATTTCCTTAAACGCAGTGTTGTTGCCTGGCCTCAAGTCAAGCATTTGATGTCCTCAACCACATACGCCCTAGACTTCAACAGTGTTTTTTAAAGCCAAATGTTAAGGGGGAAAAAAGAGCTAAGCTGGTTTGTCAGCCAGCAATATTTTAGAAGTACCTGCAACACGAAAAGTGTAAAAGAAAACAACCTTGGCTAAATCCTTCAAAGGAATGGACAGAAAACATTAAGTTATATATCTGATTTCACACTCAACAACCTACCTTAGTTATCAAGTAGTGTTTGTTGGTTGTCAGGGCCTTTTCCAACTCAACATATCTTACTAGTAGTTAAACTTATAATCTGCAATACTATATTTGTTACTCTCCAAAAAACATAGGAAATTACATTGTTATTGTATCTGACAGATTCCATTATTAAATTAAATTAGATGCGCAACTGAAGGCCATAATTCGATTAGCATCTGAATCCCACACTAGTGCAAGAGGTTCTTTAAGGGTTGACCAGTTTACTTGTTGGTCCCAGCTGTATAGATGCCGAAAGTACACCATTTTGTGTGCAAAATGCATTTCAATTATTGAGAGATGTAGGCAACAAATGAACTTAATATTTCATAACATTACAGTGAATTATTTGCCATTAACCCATTTTAAAGGGCTTCCAAATGGACTTTAATGAAACATTTTATTGCTGGCTTTAACATCATACTTCTGTAGCTGCAAAGAATTTACTAGAAAATGCATTGGGATTGTGCATGTTGATTTATTATTATTATTAGTTTGTGTAGTGCCAACAGCTAATAAGAACTGTCAAAATATCAGGAAATACAACCACACTTCTTTTTCACTCACCCCCATCTGCGAAAGTATAGTTAAATAAGCTTGTCTAGTTTGCATTAGGTGGCTATAAACGATCTAAATCTTACGGATGCTGATTGACTTCAATCTACTTTCCTGAAACTTCAAAGTTCTGTTCTATAATCAGCACCTGGACAAAAACAAGTTTCAGGAAATGGAGTCAAAGAAAAGCTTTTTTGTGACGCACTAAAATCATATGCACAATTATAAAAGCCATGTCTGAGTGCTAAGTGTCCAAACTCTGTACTATTCAAATTTATTCTATTAAGTGAATGTCTTCCAAGACTGCCACTTTAGCCAATTTAGAGGCTTCCAAAAAGAAAAGAAAAACAATCTCACCTGCATAATCTGTGAATTAAATGTAATTAAAAGCCTTAAAAGTGCACATACTACAGCATGCACTTATTAAAGGAATAATATCCCATCCATCCTTTTACATCTCAGTCTTTAGTCTGAGTTCACTGGGATAGATACAATATTTTCCTACCTCAATTAGCCAAGGGCTGGTTGACTAATTCCAACTGTTTTTGCACCTGAGAGTTTGGGAGCGGGAGTTGGAAAAAGTGAGAGGGGGAGTCAGTGCGAGGCTGTTTGGGCAACACGGCAGTGTTGACGGACGCTGAGGGCTACGCAGAGGACAAGGTGGACAGCAGCAAAGCAACATCAACAATGCAAAACTCAGTTCTCATTCTGAACAAGGTAAATGGACTCATAATATGATGTTTTTTTTTTTTTGTCAAAATATAGACTTTCTTTAAAAGTAAAGACAACTTTTAGAAAGTTAGTAAGGATACCTTTCTGAGAAGGGGACCCTCTTTACCAAAATGAGCTCAATTCAGGCACAGGAAATGAGAGGATGGTAAGTAAATGTTCAAGCAAATTGCTTAAGAGGGCTGTACAATTTCACCCAGCTGTACGATGCTCAAGCATCTAAGCTGATCTGAGAAAGCCGTGGAGAGCAGAAATTGTAAACAAATGTCATGCAACAGTTGAGATCTGCACAGTGGCAGAGCAGTTAAAGCAACTTGCCTGGAAAGAAGTCTGACTCACTCACTTTTGCAACTACACCACAGCCAGGGTCAGCCCACTATGATCTTCATGACCCACACCACTTAAATCTCAAATTCAAATGAATGAGCAGCCACTTTTGAACCGTGACAGAGGGATGACAGAGTAAAACTCCAGCCGGAAAAGTGTAACGATAATGGAACTGGGAGGTAGGGTAGACATGATTTGTTAGGAGCTTGGGATAACTTTGATGACAGGCACATCTGGTTCATTTATCTTAGGTTTTCTAGAGACCAGCTGCACCTGTTATTTCATAATAAAATAACACACACATTTTTGCGTCACAATGTAAAGACTCTAAAACAAAATACTATTCTTAATACATGTTGAACTTGCATGTGAATTTGACAGTGCACTTAATTTCAAACTTTGGTAATGATGCAGTTAAGTGTTACATTAATCCTCTCCTGTGCAACCAATCTGATTCTGTTTTCACCTCTGAGTAAAAAAACAGGTAACTGATACACAGAAAAGGTCACATTGTAGGATATATGGTCACAATACGGCCACAAAAATGAGAAGTCCTAAGTACCACAAATAAGTCAAATGGTTGAAAATAAAACTGCAATTTTAAGAAATTTGCAAATAAGAGATATAAAGTTTTAATTCTGAGATTTGTGGGAAAACATATAACAGTGAAGGGCCTTCACTTTCCAAATATTTTTATTCAAATCCTACCTAGCAACACCTTTGTACAAACTCGTAATACAAAGTCTGACTGTACAAGCAGTGAACTAAAAGAGCCATAAAACACGAATGATAAGAAAGTCAATGAAAGATCATAAAGACCAAATGAGCCCCACTCCCTTTCTGCAGTGACACATGAATGGAGATAGCACTGTGTATCTACTCACTGTCAGCGTAATTTTTCCGACGTGTGCCATCCACCTTGCCCGTCTTGTCGATGCAGAGAAAGAACTTGTTGGCAGAATAGAGGCGTCGCAGGCGAACGTCACCCTCGAGGTGGTTATAGCTGCGTGTGTGCCGCTCCAGAGTCCACGAGCAGTTTGTCCCTTGTGCCAGCGCATGTAGGGGGTCATGCCCCAGTGCAGGTGGGCAACCTCCAAGAGCAGAGCAAGCCAGAGAGAGTAGGGACAAGCATACCAGGGTAGCAGGATAAGAAGGGGGGGCTGAGCCAGCGAAGTGGAGACCAGCGGTAGTAGGTGTCCATTTGCACATGATGGGTCAGACTCCCAAGGTGCACCTTGCACAAGCAGTCGGCATGATGCTGTTGTTCGCAGGGCTCTCTGCCTCACGCAGATCCCGTTAGCAGGAGCATTAGAATATAAGGTTAAAAATCCTTAATAAAAACAAAGTGACCAACTTTGAATTCAAATGTTTCTCTTTGGTGTTGTAACCAGCTGTCTGTTAGTCCTGCTCTTCAGAACGATGAACGAAAGTGATGCAGTTCCATCCTGAAGAAACTTCTTGATCTTGTTAGATTGTCCTGGAGTTTCCAGGTCCCTCAGTCCAACCTGAATAAGTTAAGAGAGCCTGTGTCCTGTGTGATGGCAGCACCTTGCAGGGATCTCTCTCTTCTGAGCCAAGGGCAGAGCAAGGTGAAATGTGAGGCTGTCTGACCCGTGCCCGTGAATGAGCTGAGCTGAATGAGTGTATTTGAATAAGTGTGTGTATGTGTGTGAGAGAAAGATTTAAAGAGACTAGAGAGAAAGAGTGGGAGAGGATAAGATAGAGGTGGCAGTGAGAGTCTGACGGACTGAACAAGGCAGTTAAGCTGTAAATGGGTGTCTTTCTCTCTCGCTCTCTGCCTTGCTGTCTGCCTGCTTTTTGGTGGGGTGGCTCAGTCCTTTCCTGCATTTTATTCAGGGCAGGGCTTGCATCTGGGGGACTGAGAGGAGATGGGTGGGGTTGGTATTATTCATAATCACTTTAAGTAATGTCACTCTCAATAGTGTTTACCTTTTACCACACTGTCATTCATGTCCCTTCAGGGAACTGATCATTGTCAGATGTACCATATCGTTTTACCTTCCATTCTAAACCAAATTGTTGTCATCACATGTGAAATCCTGCTTTGTCTGTGGAGGTTAGTAAAACGCAAGCAATACATAAATTTTATTGTAGAACTGAAGCTATGTTTTTTTTCCAAAAGAGGAAAACAAGATTAATAAGTTTGTGCAGCAATAATGAGGTCTCCTTCACCTGTAACTTCACTTATACAGAGTACCGATGAATATTTGCGCCAGCTTATGACCTGGGGAATGTGACTTTGAAATTGCATTCATGAACAGCTGGGAGCCCCAAAGTGCTATATTTTCCGAAAGGTCACCAAATCAAATATTTACAACATCTTTTATCTGAACTCAAGATGTGTGTGTTTGTGAACACATTGTCTAAGTGTACCTCTGCTCTGAAAGACTAACATCCTTTTCAAACACTCCTGGTTTCAATGAACTGTGCAGCCCACGGGCAGAGGGTGAAAATGATCTTAAAGAGTCTGTTTTACTGGGAAGAGTCAGTCACTTCACACTTTGTTGCTAGTTAACTAACAAATCACTGAAGCTTTAGGACTTATACTCAGCCTATAAAAGCATAAGGAGACAGCAGTCTGCAGTCTTTTTTCAGCTCCCCGCAGTCATTCCAGTCTGCTTGGGCATATCAGCATTTTGGTTTTATGCTACTGTACTTCAAAGTTTTCCTCATAGCTACATCTTAGTCCTTCACCCCCCATTAAACCTAACTCAAGTGGACCCCTACCTTTATTTTTGGTCCTCCCCATCAACTTTATGTTTCTCACAAAAACGGATGGCACAGAAAAGTACCCATCACGGTCATGCTGAGTGCCTCAAGAGCTGGATACAGTCTGAGAAAAAGCTGTAAAAGTGGATTCAGTTCTAATTAACAGTGTTTTCTAAGGCGAGAATCGCTGTTGTTCATGCTAGGTTAGGGATTTGAACAAACAGTTAACTGTAAATATTACTGTTATTATAACTTAAAGAGTTCATCCTGTTCTGTTAATGTTACAGATTTAAATAATGACCAAAATTATGGGTTATTCATCAAAGAAGCACTATTTTTTTTTTTACTTTTTATGGCAACACGTTGAAGGGTCTTTAGTGCTCAAAACTGGCCACTTCAAAAGGCCTTTCTGAAATGAAGGATTTAGAAGTGTAAATGTGATGTGATGTGATGAAACTTTTTTACTTTCGTCATATTTTACACATATTTAATTTGTGATGCATTTGATGCAAGATGACACAGAAGTAAAGAAAATGCTTGTTGTTGGTTGTTTTTTTTTTCTCACACCATTCATCCCCTTGAACTCAGTCTAGAGTCTAAACTCTTTGAAGAAATTAGGGCATAAGGACAAACCCTTCAGAATAGATCACAGCCAAAGAAATGGGCAGATTGAATTTAACCACCATCAAACTACCCAAAACACCCTGGCAACCACAAATCAACACCCCAAATACTAATTTGAACACATTAGAATAGGACATTAGGATGAACACACCAGATAGGAATGGCCTTTTAACATCTTCCAGCAGCCTAGTGTTTTTGCAGCAAGTTGTTCAGAGGAGAGCACCAGTGCATTTTTTTTTTGGAAATCTCAAAATAAATAAATAAATAATGTTCATATTCAATCTCAGCAGAGTGAAAAAAATTTGCACATTAAATATTTCAAGCCAGCATTGTCACAATAGATTGAAAATGAAAGGATTTTAAAAAATAATAATAGTTAACTTTCATATTCATTTATTCTTCCCTTTTTTTATTTGTTTGATGTCTAATTTACAGATGTACCCTGAACATACAGCATCAGTATTCTTATTTGCCTCAAGCACATACAAAGACCCTGGATGTCCATAATATAAGCCTCCACTGATAGGGATGTCAATTACATTTTTTTTAGAAAACATGTAAGATGTTTCACTTAGAAGTTCAAGAACAAACGTCTTTCCCAATACTAATGTCAGATGTGATGATAAACTTGCTCAGTCTTTGCGGCCGATAGTATCACTGCTAAACACATGTCACCAACACAGCTCTTTCATTCAAGACACAGTTGCACAACTGTCTTCATCTAAACCTTTTAGTAAATCTTAAACCATCCACAGAACGGCTGCCAGTGCATGTAAGCCTTTTTTTCTGAAGGACGGTGTGACTCTGCAGTCTGGTGTATTTGCCTGCTGACATGGTTATCATTAGAGATTTCTGTTGAATATTTTTTTTTTAAAACTATTTATTTAATGTACAGCAAAACATAAATAAATATAAATAATAATAATATTAAAAATATATTAAACAAAACATATGAAACCTAATCTTGATTGACATGACCTTACAGAAAAGGCAACAATCTCTAATTCCACACATCGTTGGCTATCAATAGGCCTCTGCTTAGCTCCCATGATGCCATGCAATGCCGGTTGCACCCTAAGCTGAGAAAATCTGTGCGGCCATGTGGGATGTTCACTGGCGAAAGGAACCTAATCTTTCCCAGCAGGGCTCCCATCAACTCTGGAAGTGTATGAATGGAGATAATATCTCAGTAATGAGGCCTGTTTTGTACCATCAAAGTCCTCCAAAAGGGCCTGAAACCCGACCTCCCTCTTTGCGCCGACGATCTCCCCCAAATAGCACCCATTATTAATTGTTTTCTCTCTCCTGCTAACATGCGGGCTCACTTCCAATCCCCCTCCATTACCTATCTCCACCCCCCAGAGTGATTTCAGTCTCCCTGTTTCGCTTCAAACTATTCAAGCTGAAATGAAACCAATGATAATGGGATGGTTATGGAAAGTTATTCTCTAATTATTACACTGTAAAAATTGGTTTGAATTATCAGTTGTTGACATTTTGTTATTCATGGTTGTTTTACATTTATTTATTTAACAGTTGCCTTAGGGACTACAGTGTGTGTGTGCGTGTGTGTGTGTGTGTGTGTGTGTGTGTGTGTGTGTGTGTGTGTGTATATATAAATACATATATATATATATATATATATATATATATATATATATATATATATATATATATACATATATATATATATATCATTTTTTTTGCAAAGTGCTTTTTTTAACAGCTAAATTTTGAATAAAACTCACTCTATTAAACTGCAGAATTTTCAACATCAAGGGTTGACAAGAGTTGATATCAATGTCGCATAGTGCAATTGATGTGTATAAACAATCCATGGTGTGCATTGATTTTAAAAACTAAGCCTATAAACAGGTCTTTATCGAAAGTTGGGGTTGATAGCATGATGTATAAAGTAAAATTAATAATGAGAATAAAGAAAAAAGAAAAGAGAACATTGAAAGAGAGAGAAAAAGGAAAATATATTAAACTGAATTGGGAGCTGGCACATTCTTCAAACTTGTGGTTTTGTGTCAAGAACGAGTTGTATGCTTGTGCTATATCAGCACTTGGATGATACAGACTAAAAGTGCAAGATGGGCAACAATTCATTCACAGTTTTAACATGCTCCAAAAATCACCTGTATCTGTCTGCGGACGGCAAGCAGGGGCGTAAGATGAAGAGGCGTAACTTGTAGTAAGTTAGAGGCATAACTTACAGTTATTGAGATCCCATTGAACCAACGAGTTGTTGTTGGTGTTGTTGTTTTCATGAGTTTTCTCCAAATTTATCCACAACTAAGTAATTTGATATATTATTATATTCATTCATTTAGCAACTCCACTCGCTGACCTCTTCATCTATTTTGTCATGACAGTTAGCCTAATCGGCATCACCCCCTGTGGTTGCAAATAACAGTACAATGGCGAGCGTGATATGTATGAAAGCCTCCGCAACTTGCGGCGGTACATTAATAACTATGATGGTTGGGTTTAGGTTTAGGGATAGTGTAAACGTTCATAACTGTGATGGTGGGGTTTAGGGAAGGTGTAGACATTAATAACTGTGGTGATTGGGTTAAGGGTTGGGGTAAGTGCAGACATTAATAACTATGATGGTTGGGTTTAGGTTTAGGCAAGGTGTAGATGTTAATAACTAATGGTTGGGTTATGGTTGGGGTAGGTGTAGACGTTAATGACTATGATGGTTGGATTTGGGTTTAGGTTTAGGGAAGGTGTAGACGTTAATAACTGATGGTTAGGCTTAGGGTTGGGTAGGTGTAGATGTTAATAACTGATGTACAGTGCCATATTGCCGACAACATAGTTTTAACATGGCACCATAACTTCAAGTTACACTTCTAATGTACAACAAGTTACGTCCCTAAGGCACCTTCATGTTACGCCTCTGTCTTGCAGTCCGCAGACAGACCCTACTCCAAAAATTGGCAACCAAATGTTAGAAAATCTGATTACCTAATCGAAGACTTTATTTATTTTTTTGTAATTCAACAAAAAATAAGGCATCTTTAATCCATTGTGTATGGGATTGGGGTTGAGGAGACTTCCACTGCAATAAAATACATGACCTAGCTGATAAGGAAAGAATCTTTGAAATTCAGAAAAATTAAATAATAACTCACAGTCAGGGTATAAAACTCCAAACAGGCCAATTAATAGAGAGAAAGATCTATTTTAATAGATGTAATTGCTGAAAATGAATCAAAAACAGACTCCCAAAAAGGAAACAAAGCAGGACAGGTTCAAAACATGTGAACTAAATTTGAAGGTTCAGCACAACATTTGTCACAATTTGGATCAATGGCAGGGATCAATAATCCTATGACGAGCACATAAATAACAGATTGTTTTACATATTTTTTATTTCATATTTGTTAGACTAGTCATGCATATTTAATTTTGCCATTCCCTTTATTTGCTTATTTTGTAATAATGATATTGTGATGAATTACACTGTCGGTTATGCAATGAACTGTCTCATGTCAACCACAGACTTCCTGCTAGATTCCTCCGACGCAGGTGGTCAAGATAACCAGAGTGCCATACTGTGCGGCCGCCTGTATAAACATCCGTTTCTAATTCAGGATCTGTCCTCTGTCGCCACAACTGAAGATCAATCTACAACAAGCCTATTTGCATTTCCTGCTTCGTGACCATTGTCTATTGTAGCTGAAATCAGTGATAAGTGAGTAGACTATCTGATCAACAGCTCCTGAGAGCCTTCGTCCTCTTGGGATAGTGGACAGAGATCTAAAAAAAATGATAGCATGGACTGTTACTTTTTAAAGAAAAAAAAAAAAAGATTGCGGATAGGATTGGTGGACATTGCTAGTTTGGTGATAATCAAACAGATATGCAACTCACAGATGTGAATACTTAAGCAAATATGTCTTTAAATGCCTTAAGGATATTATTTTAAATACTTTTTATTCATATTGACTCTGGATTATATTAGTATCGACAGGTGTGGAGAGATTTTCCTAAAAATGTTGCCTGACGGTATGCTAACCCCCTCAATGTGGTTGTAAAATACACCAAGCATTGGTATGTGTAGAGGCCTAAAAATAGACTAAATTCTTAAGTGTTTCTCTCTCTCTCTCTCTCTCTCTCTCCCTATATATATATATATATATATTTCATTGGTCAATCAAGTGAACATATTACCAGAACCATGTCTTTATAGATGTGTGCAAAATAGTCTGAATATCAGTGCCCCAAAGAATGGCAGGTTTGTCCCGGTTGGAGTTGTTATCAGGTTCTTGAATGACTCTCTTTTTTCCTTTTGTTGACAGCCAGTCACCCAATAATGACTGTCACACCAGAGCTTGAAACATCAAATGGACCCATCAGAAAGGTAACCCTGTGAACCGTAGTGACAAACAATGTCTGATCTCCACCTACTAGGTTTCTAGGTCATCTTATATTTGTTTTTAAATAGACTTAATGTAGAGCTTAATGAAATTAAATGATACTTAAATAAACATTACTGTCAGTAGTTATGTTAATTTTTATAATTTAATACATTTATTTTAGTCATAGTGACACTGTGAAGGTTTCTGGTTCGAGTCCCGGCTAGGCCAGTTGGGATTTCTGTGTGGAGTTTGCATGTTCTCCCCGTGTTCTCGTGGGTTTCCTCCAAGTGCTCCAGTTTTTCCCACAGTCCAAAGACATGCGCTATAGGTAAATTGAATAAACTAAACTGGCCGTAGTGTGTGTGTGTGTGTGTGTGTGTGTGTGTGTGTGTGTGTGTGTGTGTGTGTGTGTGTGTGTGTGTGTGTGTGTGTGTGTGTGTGCGTGCGTGCGTGCGTGTGTGTGTGTGTGTGTGTGTGTGTGAATAAGACTATATGGATGTTTCACAGTATTGGGTTGAGGCTGGAAGGGCAGCCGCTGCGTAAAACTTATGCTAAATAAGTTGGTGGTAATTGGGTGTGGACCCCTGATGAATAAAAGGACTAAGCAAAAGGAAAATGAATGACTGATGTTTATTTTTTATCATTTAATCAATTTAATTTAGTTATTAACATTAATAATTTATTATTTTCATGCATGGTTGAATTTAACGTTATCTACTAAATACATACTTTATGAAAAAGAAGTATGTAATGTAATGATGTTATATAATGTGCTGACTGGTCACCTATTTTCAATTTTAATCTAACATATGTGAAAGTTTAATTTTAAATATATACATTGACAACCAGATAAACATCTTATTGACGGACATCCTACAAATGATTTAGATATGGTTTTCACAACAATTTGACAAAAAACCCATATATTTAAAACCATGCTAACCTCAAATGTACCTTAATTTTGCTGCACTAATAGTTTAACCACGGAATTTGTAGCAAAACTTTGGTTATACAAATGCTAAGCAATGTGCCAGAAACATGTTTACTACACTAAAATAAAATACATTTTTGTAGATACAAATTCTGAATTACTAATCACACAAGAAATATAATACTTCCAATAAACGTCAACTCTAAAGTGTAATCGTCCATAGAAAAATGTTTCATGAAGTAACAAATCCACCTCACAGAAGGTGATATTTATTTTGTGTGATTTGAACTCCCAAAACAAGTGATCTTAAGATAGAAAATGTTAACTTAACAGATAGAAAACGTTCAAAAATTTTTTGAAAGATTGTCTAACACTGTTGTTTTCCAGGACCCATAAAGAGAGCTTATATTTTGTCTCATTATGATTAAAAAAAAATGTGTACGATATTATAACATTAGAAAAAGATTTCCTACATACCCTGTTAATTTAAAGAGCTTCAAAATAACGTTAATATTATTTATCCTGCAAACTAATTTCTAAAGTTAAAATTCAATATTGGTGACTTTAATGTATTGAAACAACTGAACACTTGTTTTTCCAATGTAATGTGATACAAAGATTTTGAGATGAAGTATTAATTTGGATACAACTGAAAATATCTGTAAGACGTATCTTCTCAAGGGAAAGTATTGAGTTTTGCTTAATACTTAAAACATATATAATGAATAATTTATCGTTATCATTAAATTGTATATTCATAAATGTAAATTTTTCAAAATTCCTCCAAGACTAGTGGTGTTTAGAGAGTAATGTGTGATATATTTGAAGACATTAAGAGAGATGAAAAGCCAAAAAGCAATTAATTAATTTTTATATTTACATAATTTGAGGATTTTGGTTTCATGTTTTGAGAACTTCAACTCCTCTGCTTTTTATTTTTTCTTTATCATTTATTTTATTTGTTAATTTTTGGCATTTTATTATGATTTATTATTATTAAGGAGGATGGAAAGATTGTGAATGTATGTAAATTGATTGTTATCTCAGTCTTTTGTGTAATTCTAAAAAGTGTTAATGCCTTTCTGTTATTGTTCAAACATTATTAATGAAAAATATGTGTGGTTTGCGCGGCAAACACGTGGTTAATATTGCTTGGCAAAGTTCGCCATCTACTGTAGTTTCTAACAAACACAGGCCATTAAATATAATCTAGCCATTTCACACACAAAACGATCTTAACACGTAATATACTTTCTAACTTATTTATTGTACATCATATATTAATAAAAAATGTCCAAAATGGGATTCCTAATAATTAAATCGAAAAATACTTATTAATTAAATTGATATATTATCCTAAATATATGTATGCAATTAGACGAATACTATTTAACAAGTGACTGATTAACAAGTGAGTTAAAGAGTTTAATTATTTAAAATTATTTGAGAACGTCTTTCATTTCTTATCGCTTTAAGAACTTGAAAATAAATACATATCACTGAAATTCAACTTACATAAGATACAGTAGCAGCAGTGTTTATCCAACCTCAAAATGAAAGTTCGATGTGCTCGTCGTTCTTGGAGGTCTAACCTCGTCGAATCGTCTATGAACTAGTCACGTCTAAACAAAATGGCGGCCTTCTGCACAGGATAACGCGGTGTTTCAAAACTATCATGACAACATGTCACTCTTGAGATTGTGTGCCTATTCAGCGGCTTTAACGCGCAGTTTTGCAGCTGACGGGTGTCTTCGTAGTTTTCTAAAAGGCGATTGTTGTCGCATGTGTCTCAGAATAAGGATCAACGGAGAGAGACAAATACAAGGTAACGTTAATGAGAGAGCAGTCTTATTATCATGCTATCATCTGTCTCGTCCTTCAAATCCACTTTACCTCAATATTTATTTGTATTACTTATTATTTTGTTGTCATTCATTTTATATTGAGTATATTTTACATTCACGTTTCGTTTTACAAACTTTGTTTAAGTCAGATAGTTTACGTCTCAATGTCAACAAGGCTTTGACATGCAAGAAAGTCTGTGATGTTTGCTGTTTTATGAGATTTATACACGTGTTGTGGATGCTTCTTTGATGTTCATCTAATCTAGACATAATAGATCTGTAGATTGTTTGTTGTTGTGTCTCTTTCTGTGTTCAAACAAACACGGAAGTTGATTAACTTTTATCGTTATTCACTTTATCTGTCATTTTTCCAGAAAAAGTATGGGCTACGATTTACCGAAGGCACTATTCAGTCATTCCTAAGAAGGATGATGGGAAGAAAAGAGTCTGGGAACAGTCTCAGCTGTTGGATGGTATGGTGTCTTTCTCCTAATGGTTATATTTCTGTTAATTGTGGGTTTGCTAACTCAGACACTTGCTTGTGTGATTTTTCGTTTTGTTGAGCATTTTATTTAAAAATATGTTATTAATAAAATAAATCACATATGTCGTAAACAATATATTAATTTGGTCTTGAAGTTTACATTTTGCAGTGATGTAAATAGTCACTTAGTAGAGATTTAATAGCCTATATATTATTGCCTTGCATCAGATTGCTGTTTATTCGGATAAGGTTTAGTGTACTTGATAAAACTTAAAATACCTTATAATGTACTTTATATAAACCTTATATGTTGTAATTTAATTATATTTTTATTTATATTTAATTATACTATTATTACTAATAATCTAGTTCATATTTTGCAGTGATTAAAATAGTCGTACATCTGAGTTTGCTTCAAGATGGCTGTACTATATATATATATATATATATATATATATATATATATATATATATATATATATATATATATATATATATATATAAATAATATTAGTAGTACTCCTTAGCATAGCCGTAAAAACAGTCTTGGTGTTGTGCTACATTTATTGTCAAATTTTGCAAATAAATTTAAAAAATCTGTTAGTATAGTTGAAATTTTGTAAGGATAACATGCAACTCACTAGACTGTATTATATATGTTTAGTATGATTATTAAGGCAAAAAAGATTGATATTAAGCAATATTCTTTTTTTTTCTTGAAATTGTTCGTTCGACAGCCACAATACACTATTTTTACCCATCATGTTATTTATTTATTTCAGTTATTTAGTTTTATTTTAATAACTTTTGTTTTCCTCTTATGTTTTACTTTTTTGGGTTGGGCATGAGCTTACATAAGTTAATAATAACACCATTATAATACAGATAACTGTCTTCACCATTAATTTTGCATGAGCAAATAGCAGACTGAATTACATATTTTCAAAAAACAATCATTTACCTGCAGAGCATATGAGTTTGATCAACGGCATATCCACTCACTCACACTCTATAGACCTATATTTTATTTATAACACTGGAAACATCACAGGCCGATCATCTTTAAGCCAAAAGCCAATAAAATAAATAGGTATCCTTACTTGATACTGCTTTTACGTAGTAGAATGGGATGTCATACTTTTCACACCTGTGTAAGTGTGAATAACGATTTGAAAATGAAAGCAAACAGTTAAAAAGGTTCTGTCTTTTGTCAAGCCTCAAATAATAGTATTTATAATAGTAATTATAGCATAGACTACTGTGTGGTTGTGCATTGTCCAACTAAACGTTTTTGTTGCTCTAATAAAATGTTCCCTTAATAAAAAACAAATGTGTCAAAATGACTGGAAATTGCAGTCACTACTAAAATTCATTTCAGTTTAATTTCTAAACATTGTAAATGCACTAGATGGGTTGCTCCAGATATGGTTATTAACCTTAAGTAGTAGACAACAATCAAGTTTAGAGAAACATTTTTTTTTTTATTATTAAGACTTTGATTAAGATTTTAATTGTTTTAATTAAATTAAAATCTGCATAGACTACGCCACTGATGTGGATTAAAATATTCAATGTTATAAGTGTCAAAGAAAGTATATTTTTCTTTCTTGTGTGCATTAATTGAAAAGTAATTGTAGATGTGTGCAAGTCACTAGTATAAAGTCTAAAAGTGGGAGCTATCTAGTCCTTTTATGTTCATTGCAACAATTGCTTTTGTTATTTGGAGTTTTTGTCTTGTTTCTAGTCCAAATTTTAAAACATTCTTAAATCAAAAAGCATTTTCTAGACAAAAAAAAAAAAAAAAAACTTTTCATAAGAAAAAGTCAAAATGAAGTGAGTTTTTTTTTTTCAGCATAACCTGCCAATTAGTAAGTAAAATAATCATGTTTTGGCTTTGATTGAACTATACATATATAGTAAAAGTTAAAATTATTCACTCTCCTGTGAATTTTTTTTTCCCTTTTTTTTTTTTTTTTTTAATATTTCCCAAATGATGTTTAACAGAGCAAGAGATTTTTCACAGTATTTCCTTTAACATTTTTTTCTTCTGGAGAAAGTCTTATTTGTTTTATTTCGGCTAGAATAAAAGCAGTTTTTATTTTTTAGGTCAATATTATTAGCCCCCTTTAGCAAATTTTCCCCTGATTGTCTACAGAACAAACCATCATTGTATAATTATTGGTAATGATTGGTAATCTGGTAATCAATTGGTAATTATTGTAACCTAATTACCCTAAATTGCCTAATTAACCTAGTTAAGCCTATAAATTACACTTTAGGCTAAATACTATTATTCAGCTATTATTTAATAGTTGTTAAAACGATTATGTTTAGAAATATTTAAAAAAAAAACTTCTTTCTGTTAAACAGAAATTGGGGGGAAAATATGCAAGAGGGCTGATAATTTTGACTTTAACTATAAGTATTATTTGTTAGAATGTAAAAAATTTAATTGAACTTCCTTCAAAAACCTCAGTTACAGCATGTTTTTATAGACATGTATTCCATCATGTGCACTTCTTTTTTTCTTTCTTTTTTCACAGTTCTGGAGGCCAGAATCCAACAGCTGCAATCTGACGCCGTTGTAGACGTCAAACATTCAAAGGTGCAAATCATCAAAGCAAAGCAGAGAGCAAAGAAAACATCACCTGGGAAAAGTCAGAAGAACCTGCCAGGAGAAAAAGCAGAAATGCTTAAAAGCGGTCCCTCTGCTCAAAAAAAGAAAGTAACTGAAGGTGTCACACCTGCCAATACTCACGCAAGTCGCTGGATGGCAAAACTCAATCGGGAAATGTGGATCAATCCCAAAACCAAAACTTCTAAAAAGGTCATCAAGACGGGCCAAAGCAGTAAGACGAAACACTGCACAAACACTGCGCAAAATAAAGGAAAAGGTTTCAGAGTCTCTGAAAGACTACTGGCCAAGTTTCCAGATCTCCAAAAAATACACAGTGGTGAAGTTAGCTTGATTTCAGCCATTTCAGATAAAGCACTGGTTAATGAAGGAGAGCTCGATGTAAGCGTGCCTGCTCCTGAAAAGCTACTGGTGGATAAGGAAGGAAACCGCTATGAAGATTCACATCTCCGTGTTCGGTGCTATTTGGAGGCTTGTATGTTTCTTGACGATGTCTCTCGAGCTCAGAACTACCTGCTGTCTCATCATCGTCAGCTTTCCAAACGCTCACAGCTGTCTATCAGCGCCTACAACATCGTCATGCGGATGTGGGCCAAAAAGGTATGTATGCACATTTGTATCTCTTCTTCCACAACAAATAAACAATATCTAAAAATAACGTTGTAAAATGGGGATATTGTGGAATATTTTGGTTTTAAATCATTTTTTTGGTATTTTAACAAATATTTATTACTGTGGTCAGTGTGGCGAAAAGATGGGTTTTCAACATCATTACTCCAGTCTTCAGTCTGTCATGATCTTTTAGAAATCATTTTATTATTGCGGATACAATGCCCTTGAAATATTTCTGATCATTCATAATGCTAAAAACAATTATGCTTTTCATGATGAATAAAAGAGTAAAAAAACAGCATTTTTTATATATTTTAACGTTGTTTATTAAGAAAAAAAGACTATTTTTAGATGGAAATCACTTTATCCTGGTGGTATAAAAATGCTTTTTACTAAGCTCAATTCTTTTAGTGTACATTTATATTGAATTTTGAAAATATTATTATTATGTAATATGTTTTTATCTTCTATATTGATCCTGCCATGAAACAGACCAACAAAACCTCAATTTACCACTATATATATATATATATATATATATATATATATATATATATATATATATATATATATATATAATTTTTTATTGTTTATTTTTTTTATGCAAAAAATGTTACAGAATGAATGAAAAATTCAAAACAAATGAGGCTAGATCAATGTTTTGGTTGTTTTGATGCTTTTTTCCGCTCTGGTTCATTGTTTACATCATCACATATATTGAATTGTTATTCATTTTAATTAGGGCTTTTCATTTAATCTGCAGAATTGGCATTATTCATTCCTTTTATTTTCAGCTAGTCCCTTTATTAATCTGGGGTCACCACAGTGGAATGAACTGCCAACTTATCCAGCATATGTTTTACGCAATGCATGCCTTTCCAGCTGCAACCTGTCACTAGGAAACCTCCAAACACACTCATTTACACACATACACTACGGACAATTTAGCTTACCCAATTCACCTATAGCATATGTTTATAAACTGTGGAGGAACTGGAGCACCCGGACGAAACCCATGCTAACACGGGAAGAACATGCAAACTCCACACAGAAATCCCAACTGACTCAGACGGGGCTAGAATCAGCAACCTTCCTGCTTTGCGGCGATTGTGCTATCCATTGCAGCACCGTGCAGCATTTTTATGTATGTTTGTTCAAAGTTCATAGTCTCCCATAAGGGCCATTTATTCTACCTAACAGAAAACATACCTGTCTACTATTTCATTTACACAGTGAACTATATGAAAAAGCTTTTTACTTGCATGATTAAAATATATAGCAATCAGTTGACAGCATGATCAAGGTGATTTCCAATCCACATGCACTGTAATAAATGCTGGGTTCCAAACAATTACTACATGCTGTCCCAACAGAAATCAATTTAGTTAACTTAATCGTTTTTACAAATTTAAGTGGATTGCACATAAAACAATTAAGTTTCCCAAAAAACTTTAGAATTGTGTTGTTTCATCTTATTTTAAATAAGTAGTTTGAAAAGCAGCAAAGGTCATTTTTTCAATGTGGTCCACCTTCAACAATTCTAAAAGCTGTATTATTCATGCCAGGCCAGTAGATGGCATTGCCACTTTGTAAAGAAACACTATTGATTCTATCCGCTTGTTAAGTGGTGACGTATGCAATACTGTTTCGTGGTCCAAGCCGCCATTCATTTGAGTAGAGAAATCATTTTTTTATGATCAAAAAAGTGTTCGCGTGACGTCACACTTAACAAGGGGATAGTACCCCATTAAAAGAAATCCATAAACTTTTAAACTGTATTTAAAAATATTACAGACGACCGCAAAATGTTGTAATATACTTTTGCAATATTTTTGTCTATTCTGCTTTTAGTCTGTATATATGTGTGTTTGTGTGTGTATATATATATGTGTATATATATATATATATATATATATATATATATATATATATATATATATATATATATATATATATATATATATATATATATATATATATATATATATATATATATATATATATATATATATATATATATATATATATATATATATATATATATATATATATATGTGTGTGTATATATATATATATATGTGTGTGTGTATATATATATATATATATATATATATATATATATGTATATATATGTATATATATATATATATATGCCCTATATATTAATATATAGAATAATATATACATATATCTATATCTATCTATATAGATATAGATATATGTATATATTATTCTATGATCTTATGATCTCACATTTATAGGGTTTTCAGATTAAAAGAATTAATTCAGTGTTGTTCTTTAAGTTTTTTTTTTTTAATGTTTCGCAGGGTTCCATAAATAACATTCGTCGCCTGTTTTCTCTGATTGAAGAAGCTGGTATGAAACCAAACGTCACGTCTTACTGTGCTGCTCTGGAGTGCATGGGCCGTATGCAAAACTGTGAAACAGTTGTCATTGCCAGGTAAAAGCGTACCAAAAAGTGACCCTCAAATTAACTACAGTAGATAGATCTAACTAATGGTGCATTAACATTTTTGCATTGCATTTTGGTCTGAAAGATGTTTTTTTTTTTTTTTTAAAGCTTATACAGGTGCTATCGTGATCAAATAATATACTTATATTTTTGTCCACAATTAATTCTTCAATTTGAGAAATAAATATGAAATGGTAAGACTTTAGTACATTTGTAAATGTCCTATGTTGACATTGAAATATTATTTTAGAGCATTCAGTGTTCAGAAATGAGATTATGTTAAATTGATTGACACTTCCAGATTGTGTCTCTAGATGTCAGTGTTGCAGTTTGCAATAATTCATAAATAACAAAGGCTCCTACCGTGTAATTGTTTTCCTCAGATTTCATTTAAGAATCCAAATCAATTTTTTAAGCTTGCAAAATCATAATGATGCTCATATATATGCTTTTTTATGAAGACATAATCCATGAGCTGATCCATTTATCTACAGCACTATAGGATTATTATGAGGCAGACTTGACCATGGCCAAAAATAGAAATTCAAATTGTGGTCATTCATCTAAAGAGCATTAACTCAGTGGACCGCCATTTTCTCTCTGGTCATCTATTTGTTTTGTGTGCAGCTTGTCTCTGGGTAGAGGAATTTAGCAGATGAACACCTCCTCTCTTGCATTTATATGCAGAGCTCCTTGACAGAATGAGGCCAGATCAAAAATCTGTTGTTTTGACTTTTTTTTTTTTCTCATTTGTTCATTTTTTACAACATCACATATATTGAATTATAATTTATTTTAAATAGGGCTATTAATTTAATCTGCAAAATGAGCATAATGTATTATATTTATTTATTTATTTATTTTTATGTTTGTACATGTAAAAAGTTCATAGTCTCCCATAATACCCATTTATTCTGTCTAACAGAAATAGGACCTGTCTACATTTTTACATTATCACAATGTACTAACCATAAAAAGTTTAAAATATTTTGCGATTAGTCGACAACATTCTCAGGTGGAAACTCCTATATTTCCATATTTAATTAGCATTAATGGTGACTGTAAGGTGAAATATGCTGTTGTTACCCAATAGCAGAACCAAAGGACAGGCACAGGGGGGCTTGTGGCAGCTGTTTGGGCAATCGATCACTGTGAGCTGATGGCAAACACACTGCCGTCCAGTGGAAATCCTCTTTCTACTAGCCCCACAGGAGCCTATTTTTTACCCATCTGTCTCTCTTTGTTCTCCTTGCCACACTTTCAATTTGTCTTTCAGCTCTCAAGCGGCACGGTTGTTGCATCCTTCAGTGCAATCCTAACTTGCCGTCCTCTCTCCACATAAAGGTGACTTGGTTTCATGTCACAATCTTTTGGACAAACGGTTCACACATTCGTTTTCCTTGCGATGACATTCGATGTAGTCAACATCTGCTGTAAATATCAGAGATGCCAAGAACTGTTGGTGTGGAAAGATAAGATGGAAACCTGGAAATTTTGACAAATAACAAATACTAATCCAACAGTTCACATCGCATTTGTACAAAGCATTTGAATTTTAATTCATATCACATTTGGATTTGGTTTGTTAATATTTAACTCGATTTTACAGGAAGTATTTGTTTCATGTGATTGGTGATAAACAAATCTAAATGGGTGCTCAGCCAAACAGACTGACGAAGAGCTGGTGTGCTCGAAATGTTACACGCTTTGTGTTTACCTTTTTGATTTCATATATTTGTGTTTTTTTGGAGCTTTGACACTGCCACCTTTTTGATTATATTGGTGATAAACAATAAATGGTCAAATGATGTGACAATTTGTCAAAAATCAAAAACAAAAGTGTAATTTTAATAGATTTCTTTTTAAATGCGATCATTATCTCTTCAGGGTATTATGTCATTGCTTTGTGATTGTTAACTGGAACAGAACTATTATTCAAATTAATTCATTAAATTTAAACAGAAATTTAGTTTACATATATAGAAATATACATTTTTGCTACCTAAAGTACATATTAATTAAAAACTTATACTGAAACAGAAGTAAGTGAAGTTCACTACCTGACAAAAGTCTTGTTGCCTATCCAAATTTTAAGATCAACAAATAATAACTTCTAGTTGATCATTTTATATCAGAAGTGGCTTATATAAAAGGCAAAGGTCTCTAGATTACGCTTTTTTTTACCAAAATTAAATATGATCATGACTTGATTTTTAATGAGTTTATTAGGACAGTAAGGTCTGACTTTGCTTAGACAAAAGTCTTGCCACTTTTGCCACTACACCATTAATATGCAGTATAAATATATAAATATAATAATAAAATGTATAAATATTATAAAAAATATATAAATATATAATGCAGTATAACATTTAAAGTCATGGTGCTGTGGAAAAAAAAATCATATGACTCCCATGAGGGTAACGCAGTGACGCAGTAGGTAGTGCTGTCGCCTCACAGCAAGAAGTTCGCTGGTTCAAGCCTCGGCTGGGTCAGTTGGCGTTTCTGTGTGGAGTTTGCATGTTCTCCCTGCGCTCACGTGGATTTCCTCTGGGTGCTCCGGTTTCCCCCACAGTCCAAAGACATGCAGTACAGGTGAATTGGGTAGGTTAAATTGTCTGTAGTGTATGAGTGTGTATGGATGTTTCCAAGAGATGGGTTGCAGCTGGAAGGGCATGCGCTGCATAAAACATATGCTGGATAAGTTGGTAGTTCATTCTGCTGTGGCGACCCCAGATTAACAAAGGGTCTAAAAGGAAAATGAATGGATGATGACTCCCATGAGCTTGGACGATTGCATCCATACATCTATGCATAACTTATGTATTGGGTCCATGTGGGTTCCAATAGTTCATCTGCAGTATTTGTAATGATTGTGATACAGTTTAACAGATGATTCATCCAAAAAAAACTACCTTCTGCCATTTTTCCAAATAATCAACTTGAAGTCAAATTATTTTTTGTCTGGTTTTGTGACTTTTGTCAGGTAGTGTACTACTAATAGAACATTTAAACTAAACACACACAACAAATAATGAAAATATCAAAACCATATTAAAAACACAAGAACCAATTAAACTGTCTACATAGAACTTACTAGTTGCCAGAGCTAACATTTCTGATACTAAATTCAAATACTAAAAACTTATTATATGTTTATGTTTTTATACCAGTGCTACATTTTTTGAATGGACTCCCCGACACCGGCTTGTTATAAGCATTGTTTGTTTAAGAGATCAGCCTTTAAAACAATGCTTCTGGTCACTAATACAGAGCTCAGGGCTGCATCAACTCCATGTTTAACATTTACAGCAGTCCTGAGTTTAATTCTCATAAGGTAATTGTGTGATTAAAAAAACAAAATCCTCTGTTTTGTAAAGTGTACAGTAATGTCTTTTTCTCATGACCTCGCACCACCCTCGATGGCTTCATTTACTGACTGTAAGTCCACTAGAGGGCACTGAGGACTTATCTTTTCTTGTCTGTTTTCCATTCCCGAGGGAGCCTGTTGCTTTGGAAACCATTGAGGAATTTTTGCATCCTCTGACAAGCTTTAGGAATAGCCCATTCTGCCCTGGAGACTCACGAAGTGTAAAATCCCTCATCTGGTTGCAGACATTCATGAGTAAATGCATTTAAACAACTAGTTCTATGACTAAGACCTTTTTAAAAATGTACAAATAAATGCCCTTAACTATTATGCGCTAACATTAAATACGTAAAACACTGGATTTGCTGTTCAACAACTGTTACAAATTCCTACATTTACTGCTTTAAATTGTATCTTAGATAATCAGAAAGACTTAAACCAATAAGTCTCAAACTCAATTGCTGGAGGGCCGCAACTCAGCACAGTTTTACTCCATCTCTAATCAAACACACTTGATACAAATAATCGAAGTGTTCAAGACTACTAGAGACTATTAAGCAGGTGAGAGTTGAAGCTCCAGTATTCCCAACATTTGACATACATAATAATGGTAAAATATGGGCGATAAGATTTTTTTTTTTTTGCACAGGCACATTGTGTAATTTGCTCTCTGTGCATCATCATCATGTTTAGGTTTTAGTTTCTTTATTTATTTTTTTTAATCAAAAGGCCAGTTGTCACTTTCACACAGTAATAATGGTAAATCACTGTAAAATTCTGTGAACAACTGTTAACTGTCAGTTACTTTAGAGAATGGAGAATATTCCTTAGTTAACTGTAGAGAATGAAGAGTATCCCTCGGTTAACTGTAGAGAATGAAGAGTATCCCTTAGTCAACTGTAGAGAATGTAGAGTATCCCTCAGTAAAATGTAGAGAACGAATAGTAGCCCTCAGTGAACTGTAGAAAATGAATAGTTCCCCTCGGTTAACTATAGACAATGAAGAGTATCCCTCGGTTAACTGTAGATAATGAAGAGTATCCCTCGGTTAACTGTAGATAATGAAGAGTATCCCTCGGTTAACTGTAGATAATGAAGAATATTCCTCAGTTAACTGTAGATAATGAAGAGTATCCCTCAGTTATCTGTAGATAATGAAGAGTATCCCTCAGTTAACTGTAGATAATGAAGAGTATCTCTCAGTTAACTGTAGATAATGAAGAGTATCCCTCAGTTAACTGTAGATAATGAAGAGTATCCCTCGGTTAACTGTAGATAATGAAGAGTATCCCTCGGTTAACTGTAGATAATGAAGAGTATCCCTAAGTTAACTGTAGATAATGAAGAATATTCCTTAGTTAACTGTAGATAATGAAGAGTATCCCTCGGTTAACTGTAGATAATGAAGAGTATCCCTCGGTTAACTGTAGATAATGAAGAGTATCCCTAAGTTAACTGTAGATAATGAAGAATATTCCTCAGTTAACTGTAGATAATGAAGAGTATCCCTCAGTTAACTGTAGATAATGAAGAGTATCCCTCAGTTATCTGTAGATAATGAAGAATATTCCTCAGTTAACTGTAGATAATGAAGAGTATCCCTCAGTTAACTGTAGATAATGAAGAGTATCCCTCAGTTAACTGTAGATAATGAAGAGTATCCCTCAGTTAACTGTAGATAATGAAGAATATCCCTCAGTTAACTGTAGATAATGAAGAATATTCCTCAGTTAACTGTAGATAATGAAGAGTATCCCTAAGTTAACTGTAGATAATGAAGAGTATCCCTCAGTTAACTGTAGACAATGAAGAATATTCCTTAGTTAACTGTAGATAATGAAGAGTATCCCTCAGTTAACTGTAGACAATGAAGAATATTCCTTAGTTAACTGTAGATAATGAAGAATATTCCTCAGTTAACTGTAGATAATGAAGAATATTCCTCAGTTAACTGTAGATAATGAAGAATATTCCTCAGTTAACTGTAGATAATGAAGAGTATCCCTCAGTTAACTGTAGATAATGAAGAGTATCTCTCAGTTAACTGTAGATAATGAAGAATATTCCTCAGTTAACTGTAGATAATGAAGAGTATCCCTCAGTTAACTGTAGACAATGAAGAATATTCCTCAGTTAACTGTAGATAATGAAGAATATTCCTCAGTTAACTGTAGAGAATGAAGAGTTTCCCTCAGTTAACTGTAGATAATGAAGAGTATCCCTCAGTTAACTGTAGATAATGAAGAGTATCCCTCAGTTAACTGTAGATAATGAAGAGTATCCCTCAGTTAACTGTAGATAATGAAGAATATTCCTCAGTTAACTGTAGATAATGAAGAGTATCCCTCAGTTATCTGTAGATAATGAAGAGTATCCCTCAGTTAACTGTAGATAATGAAGAGTATCTCTCAGTTAACTGTAGATAATGAAGAGTATCCCTCAGTTAACTGTAGACAATGAAGAATATTCCTCAGTTAACTGTAGAGAATGAAGAGTTTCCCTCAGTTAACTGTAGATAATGAAGAGTATCCCTCAGTTAACTGTAGATAATGAAGAGTATCCCTCAGTTATCTGTAGATAATGAAGAGTATCCCTCAGTTAACTGTAGATAATGAAGAGTATCTCTCAGTTAACTGTAGATAATGAAGAATATTCCTCAGTTAACTGTAGACAATGAAGAATATTCCTCAGTTAACTGTAGAGAATGAAGAGTTTCCCTCAGTTAACTGTAGATAATGAAGAGTATCCCTCAGTTAACTGTAGAGAATAAATAGTTCCCCTCGGTTAACCATAGAGAAAGAAGAATATGGCTCGGTTAAGTGTAGAGAATGGACTGGAAATCATAGGTAGCAGTGAAACGAGAAGAATAGGCAAAGGACCTTGAACTGGGAATTGAATTGACTCAGGTCTCCGTGAGCACAATAGTGCTGTGTCTCAATGCTCTAAACCATAAGATTATCACTGCTGACTTAACTGAAGAGTTACACAATGCCAAGTGGTGATTTGAGTAATTGATAATTTTATGGCAGCCATTACAGTTTTGAGAGTGAAGTTTTCATATTTGTATGAACTCGTCCTTTAACTGGCCTATGACTATGGTAAAGACCTCTCAGTAATTGGAATTCGGGCTGTACAGTATACGGTTTCAGCATTCATATTGCATTATATGCATCATATTGAATTGCATATATGAAGTGTTGAGTCTGAATTATAGGTGACTAGGAGCTACAGAATTGTATTTAATCATGCAAAAAACTATAATTTTTTATTTTGTTTCTAATCCAAATATATTCGTATCAAATCAAAAACAAGATTATATTACTTGCCCCACTGACAAATGTTGTATTTGTAAGAAAGTTACTACATTTCAAAGAAAAACTTGAAAGGAAAAAGTTGAAAACAAAACAATATTTTTACTTGATCTAAGAATTTTTAGATATTTGGACTAGAAACTAGACAAAGTAGATCACTTTTTGTACCTAAATACTGTTAGATTCCATAGAAAACCATCAAATAGTGCTATTCAAACTATCTTATAAAACTTTATCCCATGTCGTAATATTTATTGCTGAACATTAACATATCGCAATATCAGAATATCAGATTATCGTGTAGCCCTAATTGGAATACTGTTAGAGTAGATACACCACTGCTTACCAGAGCTGCTTTTGTTTGATTGAAATACTTTAAGACAAGTTGTATCATGAAATATTACTGTTTTTGTCCATGTAAAATAAATATCAAAATGGCCCAAAATGATTGTTCAATCAAGTGTAGTGAAGCAGTGTAGTCTACGCAAACTTTAATATATTACTAAGACCATTAAATCTTTCCTTGCTTTTTTGTTTTGTTTGATTAAAGACAATTTTTAGACTAATATTAGACTGATGGTATGAATTTTCCAAATAAATAGTGTATACAAAGAATAATTCATTTGGAAATAATTGCTGTGCATCACGACTGCATAACATTGCATTAATTGTATTTTCAATAATAATTTGCTAGTCTGTCGTCAGCTATTCCTCCACTAATCTCCCTGGCACAGACTCTCATTTGCTCTTCCAGCGCTCTATAATTTGTATTCTGTTCACGACAGGAACACAGCTTTACATCAACAGCCAGCAGTCCAGATGCGTGGGGCTCTGACTTTATTCACACTTTTTCTGTCTGAATAAACACGGCCTTGTAATTTTTGGACATACAGCAGCGACCTATCTGACACCCACGACCAAAGAGAGCAGAACGTTCTCCATGTCAGTGCAAATATTTTATATTCTGCTCCAAAAAGCCCACAGTTTGCAGCACTATGAAAACAGATGCTGTGGTTGGGGATGTTTTCTCATTATGAGACTTTGAGAAGACAAAATATTTAATTTGAGTCTGTGTTGAGTTTCTATGTTTGTACTATTAAAATAAGTATATTTTGCAAGTACACTAAATACTTTATGATCTGCAAGTCTTGACAACTTAAATACATTAAGCTTAATAATGTAATTAACCATATCCCAACTTTTTTAAGTCATAAATAAGCTGTAATGGGGTATCTGCAGGAAAGTCTACCTTAGAAATTCTTCATAAATAATATATATATATATATATATATATATATATATAGATGTGTGTTATAATGAGTCATATATTATAATGAGAGTGGAGCGCAGAGTGGGCGTGGCCAGCAGAGCAGGGGAAAAAAAGGGAGCGAACAACTGTTGTCAGTTGGGTCACAAAATGAGACGCAAACCGTGAGGAGATTTTAGAGTTTACAAAGTTAAAATGCAAAGAAATAAAAAGTTGAATGCCCTGCTATACACGTATTTTGTAATTTCATATACACATAACCATAATTTGTTATATCATTATAAAGATAGCATATAAACAGTATAAATGAGGAGGACTTCTCTCATCCTTCATCCCTGGGTCTGAATGCAGACGCATTGGATTGCAGTGCAGCTGTTTTTTTGCACTGCAGCTGTTTTTTTGCACTGTCTATTCCAACCATTAACCTTGCTGGTAATCCGGAGAACTTATAACATATTTCAAACAAAGCAGCACAGATACAGGCAATGTGTCTGAATGGTAACAAACTCAACTGATAAAAGGCAGTCAGTCATTTTCCAATTCTTATACCGCTCTCTCGACAAAAATGCTTACTGCAAACCAACCACTTTGCTGTATCGGCCCTAACAGTATCGCAGGGAAACACATGCAACAAAAGCTGTGAATCATGGAAACAAACACACACGTGGTCTCATGCGGTCTCATTGGGTCTCATTGTAGCTTGGCAGGTCTACCTTGCATTTGAGCTTGCACATGTTCTCATGAATAATTAAGAAGAAGGGTCTTCTCATTGGATAAGAAAACAATGCTTTGAATAATAATGATAAACCAGCACGTCTTACAGATTCGTGCTACTTCATCGATTTTGATCCCGCCCCAAAAATGATTTTTATCCCAGAAGATAAAATTAGCTGACAAAAGCTCAGAATTATACAGTTTTTCCCACAATTAATGCTAAATGGTGCTAACGATGTCTTAACAGATGCTAAACACACACAAATCTGTTAAAGTTTCAATAAAAGTACTCCAGGGTGTACTTGAACCATTATAATGTCTTAAACCTCAAAAACTAATTTTTAATTTCTTAAGTCATCAATAATGTGTTTTAGGTCTTAAATTTTTTTTTAATGGGTCTTGTTTTTCCTTTGTTCATGTTTAGCTACCCAATCACCTCCAATCTATCTCAATAAAACTTTTAACTTTTTATTTAAAAAATAGCATTTCATTCTTTCCTTTACTGTAACATTAGCTTAAAAGTTCTACATTTATTTACTGCTGAGGAAACTGACCTATACTTTTATTATTAAATTATTATTATTATTGTTGTATTATTGAATGTATTAAATTATGATACATTTTTGATAGGGCAAGTAAAAATCTTTTCCTACTGGGATATCAAAAAATATCCTGAGCATTTAGCCCTGTATAAGTCTAAAATTGTATTCATAATGCTCCTAAAATGTCTTAAAGTCTCAAATTTAACTTTGTGAAACGTGCAGAAACCCTTGGTAAGTAGGTTTAATCTAATGTAAGTTAAATAATCTTCATTTATAATTTAAGGTTAATTTGATTGAGCCTTTTTACAGTGTACAACAGCCTCAAGATGTAATTAACGTAAATTTGACAATAAAACCCATAGAAAATGTCATAATATACATTTCTACATTCTTTTTTGTATTATTAATATTATTTAAAAATAAATTCTCCTCTGGTCCATGCAGGTGTCTACAGCAGATGGGGGCAGATGGCCTGTCTGTGGATGATGTGTTGAGTCAGTGTGTGTTCAAGAAGGATGAGAGAGAAATGGTCCTGAGGGCCGTCCAATTGGTAATACCTCACTTCCAACCCAGTGTTTCCAAAACCCAGCCTGTCTGTTCTCTGCCGTTGGTGAAACAATTCTATGCTGAGGTACTATTTTATTTTTATATTAAATTATATTATATTATATTATATTATATTATATTATATTATATTATATTATATTTCATTTTTTATCTGTGTAATTGCTCTTCGATAAGTAAATGTATCTATTTTGTATTAATTTTATCTTAACCTTAAACAGTTATTAAAAATGTTTTTTTAAATGTCTATGTAAAAATATAGAATTTACATGTTTTAAAAATATTTTTATTGTATTATTGAGTGTACTTTTTGTCTCCAAACCATGGAATGGTAGTGTATAAATGATAAAAAAAAATATTATGTAATTTCTTCTATTTCTTTACACTTTAATTAATTATTTTTATGTATAAGATAAAGTTCTAGTCATTTTCTAAAATATTTTTGTAAGTTATGTTTTTTCAATTGTGCTTGCTTGCTTTTTTTTCAGAAATTGATCACACTTTACAATTAGGTTCATTAGTTAATGTTAATTAATGCATTTATTACATGAACAAACAATGAACAATGCATTTATTATTGTATTTGTTGATGTTAGTTAACGTTAGTTAATGAAAATACAGTAGTTCATTGTAAGTTCATGTTAACTCAGTGCATTAACTAATGTTAACAAGCATGGACTTGGATGTTAATAATGCATTAGTAAATGTTCAATTATGACTAATAAATGCTGTACATGCGTTGTTCATGATTATTTAATGTTAGTAAATGCATTAACTAATGAACCTTATTGTAAAGTGTTACCCAGAAATTTTACAGAAGATGTAGTGTTTATTATCACTAACACCCAAAAACTTCAACTTTACTTATTTTAATATCCATAAATTTCCCTTGTAATTTTCTTCTTCTCTTAAGGCTTTGTTATATTAAAGTGCACTGACTCAATTGTTAGTAGACTTGTTTTAAAACTATTTGATTTCTCTACTTAAATGTAACCTGGGTGCAGGCTGGTACTATAAAACAGGTGGTGTGTTTTCTAAAACTATATTCCTGTCTTCTTGGGCAGCGCTGAAAGACCTGCCTGAACTTGTCTTGTGTGTCAAAATGACGGGTTTCACTACAGTGTCAGCTGTCATCTGCTATATAATTCCTTCAAACAGAGGTGCCCGCACTATTTTTGGGCACACTGGGGGGTTTTTATTGGGCCAGTCTGCCCCACAAGTAATTCCCCGCCATCCCCGATTTTCCCCACTGATTCATTACCGCAGGTGCACATAAGCCCATTTGTAATCCACACCTCGCCGCCTAACACCTTCAATGGAAACTTTCTTGGAAAGTAAAGAGGAACTGGGTCATGTGAAGGTCTGAGATGGAAATGCTGCAACTCTCAGTCCAAATCAGTAACACATCTCTGGTTCAATCTCTTTAGAGATGTCCAACAAGGCTTTATTTTGTCTAGGTTTGCTTCATTTTGCTCATTTATTTCTAATGTTTTTTTTTTGTTTGTTTATTTGTTTCTTCTAATTTATTTTATTATAGAATTTTCTTTTGCATGCTTTGTTTTGCTTACATTTTGTATTTTTGCTATGTTTGACTTTTAGATTTTTTTGCTTTGTCTAGTTTTGATTTGTGTCTGTCCCATGCTTAGCTTTTCATCTGGATTGCTTTGTTTAGCTCTGAGCTTTTTTGTTTTGTCTAGTTTTCATTTACTTTGTGTTGTACTTTTCATTTGGGATTGCTTTTGATTCTTTTTGTTTAGCATTTTTTTTCCTTTTTTTTTTATTGGCTTTGATTTTATTTATTTTTTTTGCTTTTTTTGTCTGCTTTGTTTAGCTCTCTTTTTGATATCGCTGTTTTGTTTTGCTTAACTTTCATTGATTTTATTACTTTTTTTTCTTGATTTTATTCTTAGCATTTCTCTTTGCTTTGTCCAGCTCTTAACTTTTGTTTTGCTGACTAAACTGCAACTATTACTGTTAATTAAATTACAGTTACAGTTATCATTATTATTTAAATGATTGATCAGATCAGATAGATCAGATAAATGGTTAATCAGATGCTTTATGGCAGGCAGATATTTGCAAAGTTTCAGATGTCAAGACAATTAAGCACTAAGTGATCAAATTTAGCCAATTTATACCTCCCCAAATGTATTTAAATGTTGTAATCACATATACTGCAACTGAAATGTCATACAACTTGTATTGGTTCTATGTTTGAATTCGAATGTACTTTGAAACTGTTAAAGTTTGTTCTATTTAGTTTGAGCATGGATATTCATGGAATTTTTACAATCTACATCATCCATGTTGTAGGGCGAGGCAGTGGCGCAGTAGGTAGTGCTGTTGCCTCACAGCAAGAATGTCACTGGGCCGCTGGTTCGAACCTCGGCTCAGTTGGCGTTTCTGTGTGGAGTTTGCATTTTCTCCCTTCCTTTGCGTGGGTTTCCTCCGGGTGTTCCCTTTTCCCCCACAGTCCAAAGACATGCGGTACATGTGAATTGGGTAGGCTAAATTGAGTGTTTGTGTGAATGTGTGTGTGTGGAGGTTTCCCAGAGATGGGTTGCGGCTGGAAGGGCGTCCGCTGCGTAAAAACTTGCTGGATAAGTTGGCGGTTCATTCCGCTGTGGCGAGCCCGGATTAATAAAGGGACTAAGCCGACAAGAAAATGAATGAATGAATGAATCATCCATGTTGTCCCATTGTCACATGACCTGCCTGCATCAGTTGTGTCACTTCATACCCATTTTAACATTTTCTCTTGCTGCTTAATGATATCAAGGGGTCAATTGGATGTACTTTTTTTTTTTTATAAATTCCCTAACCAGGAAAAGAAAACTAAAAACAATTACACAATTGTTCATAATAGTAACAGCAGTATATCCCTTTACATAATCTTCAATTTAAACAAAAACTATTTACAGAAGAAAGTGTGAGTGGACATAATATTTATAAGTAGGCATGAAACTTAAGGTTTTATAACAGAAATGCATTAGGTTGAATAGGAGTTATACTCGATTCATTTAGACAAAAGCCAAACAAAAAATATATTTTTGATAATTTGCATAGTTTTTTTCTTCATAATAAATATACTTTTACCAATGTTAAACTTCTATAGTCTATACAACTACAGTTTTTTTGTTGTTGTTTCGACACATTAAAATATGTGGTTAAGAAATAACTACATTTGTTTTTTTTTCCCAATTCTATTGGTCCAATTGGGCCATAACAAAAACATCCGTAGTGTTTAGCCCTGTATAAGTCTGAAATCCCATTCGTAATTGTCTTAAAGATTGTCTTAAATTTGACTTGTAGAAACCCTGATTTCAGTACTTCGCCTAAAGTAGCAGGTCATCTAGGTACTTCTTGCCTACTATTTTTCGAATACTATGGATTCAAACCTACTATTTGGATTATGTATGCATTTTCACATATTATATAATAGAGAAGTAAGCCATATTAGATGCTCCAATAGTTTGCAGTTGCACCAGATTCAGATAGTTTGAGATGTTGCATTGCCATAAATGCCCTTTCTTGCCTCCCAGCACAGCCTCATTCTGCACTGAATCATTAAATATTGGGCCGACACTTCCCTATCTCTTGAGTTCATCATGTGCTTTTCTCCGTGTCAGGGCCACGGCTTTGTGGAAATATGGGCCTCTGTCGAATCGTCTCTATATTCACAACACTGCATCTTGTGTTCTGCTTGGCTGGGCTGTAGTAGTCGTCGCCATGGGCATGATTTATCCCTCCACAACCTTTGTGCTTGTTTTGGCCACCGTCCATGTGATCTCTGTTGAGGACAGATTTAGCCATCCCTCTCTTTGCTCGCGAGTATTAACGGTCCAGCTGACTTGCTCCACGATGTGTTTGCCGATAACTCCCAGATGTCCTGCAACGCCTCCCTTCAAATAATAAATGACTGCACATGTCAACGCACAGCCCACATTAACGCGATCTCCGCACCACTTAGCAAGCTGTTGCTATAATATATGCCATATTTACAGTTCGTATTTTATGCGGCCGCACATTTGGCTGACAGCCAGACCACGGAAAGTGGGACTGTTCAACCTCATTGGATTTTAATTGGCCGTACGTGGAAGTTACGAGACTGAATAAATATGTTTGACATTTGACATTCGCATGGTGGTTTTTAGCATGGTTTTGGGGAATATAAGTGTGCCTTTAATGATGTTAGTTTTTTTTTTTTAATTGGGCCATAAAGTGCAATGGATTCTTTCGATAAGGCCTCATAAGGAAGTGAAAGGCTGAAGTAAACAGTCTTCATAATTGGCTGTCGAATGTTGCGTTTTTTTATGTTCATCCTAATGAGATTTAAAACCTCTCAGCCTTCATATCAAGTTATAAGGAGCCTGTAATATTAAATGTGAGCCTGCGGCGATGAGACATTCTCAGCGCTCATTATTTAACAGCTCTTATTTCGCATTTTCTTAGACACACAACAACAGTAAGCCTTAAGCATTACTGGTGTTATAATGTTATGCAGTCGATTAGTTCTAACTAATAGTCTGTCTGAATTTAACATTTTAACTTGGTGCAATTAATTTAGGTGTGTTAAAAATGAATACAAAGTCAGAAAGTCAACGTAATTATATAACACTTCAGTAAGCCATGTATTGTTGTATTCATCTACATTAAACCTTATATTAAAGTCTCAGGCAGAATTCCAACAATATAGCTCATTAAAATGTTTCATTTATTAACATTAAATATACATTGTGTTTATTGTTCTTTGTTCTCATTAACTTGTGAAAAAAGCCATAAAATCCGCTGTGGTTCCTGAAGAGCGCAAATGGAGCTTACAGGGGGCGTGGTCAGCAGTTGCCATCTTGGAAGTGCGTCATTCCCAGATAATTAAAAATGTTTAGATAAGGCAGAGCTTAGGCAAAGCTGAGATGACTGCTGAAACCATAGGGACCATCCCATCGCCTGCGATATTTAAATCATTTGAACATCCCAGCGTACTATCGAGGTAAATTGACCTGAACCTACGCAACAAAACTTGAAATTATAACTGTTATTAATATAATCATCTCTACGGCAAGCCATTTTGAATTTTACTCATAATCAGGATATGTATTCTTGATTGAAATAGAGTCCTATCTTGGACAGTCTGTTAGGCAAGCCAATATATATTTATATAGCACATTTCAAGCACAGTGACAATTCAAAGTGCTTTACATAAACAGGAAAAAAAGAGATAAAAGTATAAATAAAATAAAAAACAAGTAATATAAAAACGGATGAAAACAGCGTAAAGACCATACCAAACACCGGTGTATCATATTTTCTCATTTTACTCTGGGACTTCCTCATTTTGGTAATCACCACTTTTTTGGTACCTATTAATCTATTGTTCGTCTCCAACAGATTTGATTTTTCACCTGGGATTGAAAAGTTAAACTTTACAGCTCCAATTACGTGCCCCCCAATTTCAACTTTCTTTTAGAAATAAATCTCACTGCCCCTAATTTACACCTTCTGTTTTTTTTTTTTTTTTTTTAAGTACAAAAAAAAAAGTCAAAAGTGGACCCAACAATTTGAACAAACTGTATAAAACCATAAAAAACTAAAACAAAAACACTTCTGAAGCCAAGTTCATTGGATGAAATTAGCAGAGATGACGTCACCATGTGGGCTAGTTACAGCTGACAAATTGTTTATTACCAGCTGTCACTTAAGTGACCACGCCCTTAATTATGCAAAATTAAAAGGATTAATATAAACCAAACGAAGAAGTTATTTAAAAAATGTATTCCCCTCAGAGTTGTCATGAAGGGTCATATTAGCTATATGCCCCAAAACCATCTTTTGTACCAGGCTGTAAACTTTTATCAGCTGTATAATTGGTCACTTTAGCATTGCAGTCAGTGAACATCTAGAGTTATTGAAAGCCAGCTCCCATATATTTAAAGAATTGACTAATACTGAACTTTATCGGAAAGTGTTACATTCCAAAATCGTTTTGAATTCTATTTGAATTTGAATTCCATTTGAGATTTGTATTGTAAAAAGTAAACATTTTTTAAGTTAAATCAACATTTTAAAAAGGAGGAAACCGATAAAAGGTGTAGATTCATATTTGAATCTAATACTACTACTATCTATAAACAGAGCAACAAGTCACGTTGTATTGCATTAATTTCACAATTGGTTCATGTCTTGTGTGTTTCAGAGGGAAGATGCCATATATCCTAAACTAGACTACAGCTTGAAAGAACTGCAGGATCGGTTTAATCTTCAGCTGGCCATGGAGAAAGCTACTACAGTCACCATTAACTCAGTGGAGGCCTTAAAGCCTGTCACCGAAAACATGGCCCACATGGTAGGAATCTACAACCTGATTTTTGGTGTTGTTTTGAGAAATCTGAATGCTAGTATCAGAATTTTTGGCAAATGGTGTTAAGATTTACAAAAATTGAATATGATCATGCATTGATTTTTAATTATTTAATTAGGACAGTAAAGTCTGACTTTGCTTAGATAAAAGTCTTGCCACTTAAACAGAAATAATCCACAGTATATAATATAAAGTCATGGTGCTGTGCAAAAAGAATTAATATTGTGTATGACTCCCATGAGCTTGGACAACTGTATCCATACATCTCTGCAATGACTCAAATAACTTTGAGGACTCTCAGAGTTCAACAAGATTCTTTGGATTCATCTTCAATGTCTCCTCCTTCATCTTACCCCAGACATGCTCAATATTGTTCATGTCCGGTGACTGGGCTAGCCAATCCTGGAGTTTCTTGTTGCTTTCAGGAACTTTGATGTGGAGGCTGAAGTATGAGAAAGAGTGCTATCCTGCTTAAGAATTTGCCCTCTCCTCTGGTTTATAATATAATGGGCAGCACAAGTGTCTTGACACCTCAGGCTGTTGATGTTGCCACCCACTCTGCAGATCTCTTGCACGTCCCCATTCTGAATGTAACCCCAAACCATGATTATTCCTTTACCAAACCTGACTGATTTCTGTGAGAATCTTGGGTCCATGCTGGTTCTTTTAGGTCTTCTGTAGTGTTTGTAATGATTGGGATGCAGTTCAGCAGATGATTCATGTGAAAAATCTACCTTGTGCCACTTTTTTAAATGACCATCTAGTAGTCAAGTTATTATTTTTTGCTCTTACAACTGGGATAAACAACAAGACTTTTGTCAGGTAGTGTAGATGCTAATCATTAAATATGCCCGCTTTAGGATCATATGGGCCAGTGGCTTGACAAAGAATGGTAGTATGTTTTGAATTCAGTACAGTACATGTTTCAAAATGCTGAATATGCTTTCACTACATTCCAGTATCTTTGTATATTGTATGAATATACAAACATTTTTGGCTGCTTTATAAATATTTCAATAATATGTTGTCTAATACATGTTTTTGTAAATATATTTTTTAACAAATTCTCCAATAATTCAGTTCTAGCATGGTATAAGTTAAACCACATGTTATTAGGAAAAATAGCTTTACTTTCATTTCTATTGGCCAACATAAGTAAAAAGTGACACATCTTACCCCACTCTCCCCTATACCAAATTATTTATGTCCGATTATGGGCCAGAATTAATATTGCTATGACTGGTTTCTCTGAAACAAGCACAGTGGGAATCCTCAAACATAGGAAACTACCATAAAGAGGCCTTTCAAAATCTCATACACGTGTGGGATTTTCCTTTCAACAGTTAACACATCGTATTTTTTTAGGATCCTGATTTGCACCTAAGCTACGATGCATTGGCTAAACACTGGCATTTGTGAAAGTTTCCAGCTCATGCATTCAAACTAGCTGTGTTCCCTCATTCCAGCTTCTTTCTACGCTGGCATTTGCTCTACCGTCTGTGTTCGTTCACAAAAAAAGGTCCCATGTGCTCCTGGATTATTTGTGCTAGGGTTTAAAGGAATAGAATATTTTAATGTGTGTCCACCGGCCCTGTGAGAAATCCACCTTTCCATTGGAGGGTCAGCAAAACCAATCTGTGTCACATCCTCCTGCTCTGCCAGTCCGCTGGGAAACAGAAAACACCCCGATAAAGAGATGACCCACTTTCAGCAGGACAGCACTGACTGCCCACTGAACCCGATTTGAGCTGTGCATAAAATTCACATCTACATTTATATGAGATTCTACTTTCTATAGCCACAGGCTGCAGCAGAGCAGAGAATGTGATGTAACGCAAAAGCCATAATTGGTAGCCGTGTGAATCTCATGAAAACAGTCCAGAAGTAACACCCTAAAATCCAGTGGAAAAAAAATTATATCATTTGTATTTTGAAGCATGTAATGAATTCATAATGAAGCCTATTTTAGGAGCATTAAGGCACTTTGTTTTCATGAAAATTAAGCACATCTTCTCTCCAAAGTTTCAGTATTCTGCTCAGATGTAGTGTAAAATAGACAAATAGAGTACTATATCAGGCATTTCAACAGTTTTGTTGTTAGCTAGACGAACGGTATTAGTAATATTTTTATACCCCTCAGATTTGCATATGAGCATTTTAAAATGAATATAATATTAGCAATATATTATACTTTTTATTACTGTTGAGAACTGTATAACACAATGTAATGTGTTTAAAGCAGGCATGCCCAAACTTGTTCCTGGAGGGCCAGTGTTCTGCATATTTTAGTTCCAACCCCAATTAGACACACCTGCAACAGCTAATCAAGCAATTTCTAGCTATACTAGAAACTTCCAGGCAGATGTGTTAAAGGAAGTTGCAGCTAAACTACGCAGGACTCTGGCCCTCCAGGACTTTCAGGAGTTTGGACACCAATTGCTTCAAGAAATAGTTTACGCAAAAATGAAATGGCATTGTAAGAGTACTATACTGTATGTTATACAGTAGGCATGGGCTGGTATAAGATTCTGATGTTATGATAACCCTGGATAAAAAAATATCACTGTTTCGACGGTTTTGTGATTACTACTCTAATATATATATATATATATATATATATATATATATATATATATATATATATATATATATATTATGTCTGGGTAAAAAAAAAAAGTTTTTCTCCTTTGAACACTGTATTTTATTTTGAGAAACATCTAACATTTTTTGGAACTGTAAACATGTCGGGCTGAATAATTCAATTGAATCTTTGACTTCTGCCTTCATAAGTTTAAAAAAACACAGATTTCTTTACTGTAAGAAATTGCATTTTTTGACATCTTTTCTGCTGGAGATACTGTTGTCCTGAAAAAAAAAAAAAAAACCTAAATCAACCTTACATGTACTTTAGGAATAGTGTAACAGAAAACTAACTTTTTCAATCCACGGTATACCTTGAAAAGGGTCATCGTCCCTATGCTTAATACACAGTATCACCAATCTTAGTGTTCTTGTATGCACAGGCTGGTATAAGATTCTAATGGTATGATAACCATGGATAAAAATATCACAGCATAACGGTATTGCGATTACTGCTCTAAAATGTATTCTTTTTAAATATCTGGGTAAAAAAACACAAACTTTTTTCTGCTTTGAACGCAATGGCTGTGTCCGAAATTCTATACTTTCATACTATATAGAATGATTAAAACAGTATGTGAGCTAAGTAATATGTTCAAACTCATAAAAATCAAAAAACAGTATGCAAGAACCTACCTACTACTTCCGGTGAGATTCTGAAGTGTGCATCTTATGGATGCTTCGCTATCTCATGATGTAAATGATGCTTGTGAGAGAATGAATGAATGGGAGTGAAGCAATGAAATAAATCAGATATATTTTATTTTGAGAAACATTTAAAATATTTTATAACAGTAAACATGTCAGGCTTCATAAGTTTCAAAAATCATAGATTTTTTACAATTTATAACAGCATCTTTGGATATCTTTTCTGCTGGAGATACTGTTGTCCTAAAAAATAAATAAAACATTTAAAAAATCTTAAATATACCCTAGGAACGGTATAGCAGAAAATGTTGGCGGTTTTAAAACCTTGACTTTTTCAAACCTTTGTATACCATGAAAAGGGTTATTCGTCCCATGTTCTTGTTTGTCATTGTTTTCTGTGGTAAACAAACTGTGTGGTAAGTGTTTTCCACAAGATGCCTCTATTTCCGGAGCTTCCACTACGAATAAGTCTTACGCCATGGTCATTTATTGTAGAAGTCAATCGAGCATAACGTGAATATCGGCCGCTGCCAGAAGTCATTGATCAAACTGTACAATTAAAAATTTAAACATCAATCCGCTTCGAAAGAAATGTGTTAGCCCCATGGTAAGCATATGGGTTAGTTTAACAACCAATTTATGCTTTTATGTTTATATAATCAAGATTTATATATAAGACTTCAAAATAAAAGTACAGCATGGAAGAGCATAGATTTTAAACTACTCATGACAGAAAAAAAGTCTTGTCTTCCTCTAGTAAGTGACCAAGAAATTATTGAAAAAAACCTGTATGCTTTTTTTGTTTGTCTATTCCAGTAGGACATAAATAACCTACGTCATATTGTGGTCATCTGTTTTTCATGTCCATATAATATACAATGACAGTTATTTAATCTAAATACTTGGATTTCTTTAATGCATTTATATCTTATAGAGAGAATTACTAGCAAAGCAGCGCAAGCACTGGGAAAAAGCTCTCCTTCAGGCATTAAAGGACAGAAAACAGATGATGTCCAACAACAGCCAGAAATCCTGGAATACCTGTTTATACCCTTACCTGTGCATCCTGGATGACCAGGAATATGTCGACATCATGCTTCAGGTATGAACTTAAACATAAGCTGCGCCCCAAATCGCATACTTATGCACTATTCTACGCCATTTTGTAGTATAAATAGTGTAAGTAGTGTGTTCACACTGAAAACTCTAAAAACATTAAGTGCACTTTAATTACCCGGATGATGCACTCATTCAGCCGCTAAAATGAAGTGTGTAATGATGGACACTTCACGCACTCAACGACCGCAGGTTTGCTTACGTAGCGGAAGGGGCGGAGCTATCGGACGCACATGTTGGATAACTTTATTTATTTTGGATGGTGAAAGCAAAATTCTCCTACGAGAGTGATTATAGCGCCTCCCGATGGTGAATGCGGCAATACTCACAGCAGGTATTATTTGATAATTCGGTTGTTAATTTCACTGATTTGGCAACCGTCAAAGGTCATCAGGGAAACGGTTTGAATTTCCGCTTAGTAAAAAAACATTAGTGTGCCATTTGGGACGACAATAAATACATATACTATCCTGTCATTTTTGCGCCATTTGGGACGCAGCTATAGACTACAGGGATTTGAGCTGAATGTACAGTAGATGGATTAAAAGGAGTTAAATGTGTTAAAAGTACTGTTTAATGTACTAGTCACATCTTTAAATTGATATTTATCCTCCAAATTTTTCAGAGTTTAGATAAACTTTCGCCCAATGGTGAATCTTTGCTCTTCATGGCTGATGAGATGGGAAACCGAGTCTACAACTTATATTGCATTCGGCAGAAGAGTCAGAGTCAGATGGTGGAGAAGCTTAGGAGTATCTACAGCTCATATGCTGAACTCCTAGCTAACGATACTGAGGTACAAGCTTTGGTTGACCAGAAATCACATCTTCAGTTTGCTCTTGTCTAAAATGTGCAATTGCTTGTGCATTTATTTTGCTTAATCTTATATTGTAGACCAATGGCATGCTGCCACGCGAGTGTTGGACTAATCTAGAGATTAGCGGAAATCGCAGCGGCCCGTCTCTTTTAAGCGATGACACACCTTGGCCAATGATCCTTATGGTGCAGCTGGGAAGTTTCCTGGTAGACTTGATGGTTCATGAGCTCAAAATCCAGAGCAACATCCTCAATCCGGCTCTCGAAAAGAAGCTCATCCCTATCCTCTACCACATGTACACATTTCGCAGCAATCATAAGGTAAGGTTTGACTTCTTTGTGAGGTGCTCTTCTGACTTTTAGTTTGAAATGTTGGCTAAATATACTCTTACCTTAAAACAGTTGCCAAACTCATTTTCACTGAGGGCCATTTTAGCATTATAGCTGGTTATAACTGAAAGGCTGTATAAGTGTTACTATTGACATTGTGTTAAATCATTGTCTCTCTATTTAATTATAGCATATTAAAGTAACAAATACTTATATTTGCATAAATGTAAAATAGATGTTACTTCTCTAGGATATTTTAACATGAATCCATTTATCAGGTTAAAGAAAAAAGTATCCTTTTGCATAATCCATAACCTTCATCCAATACTTTGTCATATTTGAGAGAAGCAGAACTATGAGATAACAAATAATTTTGAGATGTTAATGTGAGACATTGGGCATTTGCAAATGTCAGACAAGTTCTGGTAAGTTAAATGCTATGTGGAAACACTACCATCTACTGACGGTGGGCCCCAAAACAAACATGCATTATGGAAGATGTTGTTTATAGTCAATATATAACTTTTATATAATGCTGGGTTTACACTAGGGGCAAAGCACCGTGACACTATAAATTAAATGGTTTTTACCTCGTGCTAATTTTCCACTCAAGTTCAATATAGTGATCGGCGGGTATAGCGCCAACACCAATATATTGCCCAATATTTTTCAAATGTATTGGCATGGGTCGATAATTTCTTTGTTTGGCCGATGTGTTCTAGGCTATTATTAAGAGTGAGTGGCGAACTTTTGATTTGGTGGCGCTGCAGCTGTGCACACTTAAGTATTCCCCTGCATTTATGAGCACGTTCTTCCACTCCATAGTCTAAATAATAATCAGATGAAATTTATACAAAATATTGACAATGATTGCTTTTATTAGTAATAAAGGCAAATCATACTTTACCGTTTGCCGCCTGCATTAAGCAAATATGCATTTATATCATTTAAACACATTTTTAAATGGTTAATTGAATTGAATTTTATTTCAGCAAACGTAGTCAGATCCAGCTGTAAAGTCTAATAAAGTGTGCATGTGCATCCCACATGATTGCGTGTTCAAACTTCCCAGAATACTGAGTCCATTGTTGCTTCCAGTAATTACTTTTTAGTTATATTTTTATTAAATGTTCATTTATTTGTGAAAAATATGTTGTCTTTTAAGCAGTGGGTCACAGTTTTGAATAGGTCGCAGAGAATCGTTTATGTGATGTGCGACTTCTAAAAGACGTGAAAGGAAGTTGTTGTTGACATGTCAGACGCGATTTATAAGGCTGAGGAAATTACATCTATTTTACACATTTATTTTTTGATCCATTTTTTTTTTTAATTATTTAAAATCTAAATTTATAAAAAATAAATAAATATATATATATATATATATATATATATATATATATATATATATATATATATATATATATATATATATATATATATAATTATTATTTATTTATTTTTTTATGTAAATTATTAAATATAATAAATGATTTTTGCCATCGGCCACCTTGCTCTACAAGATATTGGCATCGGCCTTCAAAAATTCCATATTGTTTGACCACTAGTTGAATATCTTAAACATGCGCAATAAATACAATTGAAGTGAATTATGTGCCACCTTTGCAAATGTGTTGCACATTTTGGGACATTTGTGCTACCCAGTTTGCACAGTTTGTATGTAACATACTCACAAAAATTTGTGTCTCGTTAATCATATGCTCTCTTGGGCCATATAAAATGATATGGCGGGGCAAGAATTGGCACACGGGCCTCAAGTATGATACAAGATGAGGAGAATAGAAAACTTTTCAGTTCACGTGCCTACTACAAGCTAGCTTGTATATCTAGCTTCCATATTAAACGCTGTTCATGACCAGACAGCTTTCATTTGAATTCAAATGACTGTGCATTAAAAGTCATGACATAAACCGTCCATTCACTTTCTACAACCTCTCACAGACTCGCATGTTTTCATGAATTATGGAATCATTTTTCCTGTGCGAGTGATCGCGGACCAGCAGAGGAAGACGGATTGTGCCTAAACTAATCTCTTTTTTACTGTCCCCTTAATTGCCCGGTTGATTAACCGCAGAGGGATTGGAAAAGGAGGAGGGAAGAGCTGAAAAAGATCAGGAGACTTTCCTTTTGGTCCTGGAAATCTCATTTCCAGGGCTGTTGCCCTAGCTCTCTGCATGGCAGAGGCCTCCACCGTAGGCTTCAAAGACCTGAAGCTTAACTCCCGTTCCTCTGCTGAGCTTGCAGATGGCCCGTGCAGCAGGGAAGAGCTCTCAGTTTAGCGTGTTTGTGGATTATTCATGCAGTATGAATGCTGTCAAGTGGATTCCTGTTCATTTTCAAGACATTGATTCAAAATGCCACCTTGTAGTTCTTGAGACTCAGACCAGTAAAATGAGTTGACAAATCCAGTTGTTTGTCCTGTGTTTAAATTTTGTCTTAGAAAAGGGCAATACAGTGTGAATCAACAAACAACACAGCCAGAGTAGTTAAATTCCGTTTGGCTGCTTTGAGCAATTTGTTTTGTGCAATCTAAAATGCAGCCAGTGCAATCTAATTGATGAGTACATGAATCATAAACACCTATTTATTTTACAGTAGGTATAATAGCAGTGTAGTTTGATACACAAACAAATGATGAGAGTCAATATGTTTGGGTAATCAGTCACTAAATCTAAACAATAGCCAGTGGCGTCCAGTTCTTAAGAGAATAAGTCCTATGGACCGGTTCTTTTTTTTGGTAAAAACTCCATTCATGCAGCATGAATACTTTAGTCTAGTTTAGGGCTGTCCAATCCTCTTTGTGGAGATATACCTTTCTGCAGATTTCAACTCCAACCCCGATCAAAAGCAACTTAACCAAATAAAGAAGGATCTGAAGGAGCACTTAGTAATAAAAGACTGGTGCATTTGATTAAGGTTGCAACAGAACTCAGCAGGAAGTTCGACTTGCAGGAACAGGATTGGGCAGCCTTGGTCTAGGTATTCTCAGTCCTATTTTTCAGTGACCCCCCTTTAGATCAGTGGTCTAAATCTTTATTTGTGGAGAGCTATGCAGAGTTTAGCTACAACCAACTCCAGCTCACACCTGCTTAACAGTTCCTACCTTGATTAGTTGGATCAGTTGTGTTTGATTAGGTTTAGAGCAAAACTGTCCACAGCTGCGGTCCTACAGGTATTGAGTTTGAGAGATATTCTTTAAATGCACATAAACACCAAGTGATGGAAGCACTATACATTCAGTAATTGGCCTGATTATTGCATTTTAGTGCTTGTCGCACTTTATGGATGTGAGCGTTGGCCTGCATCCACCAAACAAGAGCAGGCATTTGACACCATGGAAGTGCATTTGCTCCAATGGTCCTTTGAGCTGGACAGGAAGATGAAGGAAACAGTGTTGTGACCATGTCACTTACAAATGAGGACCATCCATTGCCAGACTTAAGCCTCAGTGGACAGTGACCAAGCTGTTAACTAATTATGGCTGGGTTATTCATTGAAAAGTAACCAAAATTCATAACATTTTATCAGGGCTTAATTTGTTCCGGAACACCTTTGAAAATCTGATCCGGCACCTCATTGTAACGATCCCACTTCTCAAACGTCCTCCTCCCCCGTCCGCTGTTCACTTTCACGACTCCCCAACCCTCTTGACTTTTGTCCGCGATAACAACAACCAGACATCACCCCCACACCCCGCTCCGCTTTTCAGTTTTGTCTGCGAGACCTCTACATCCTTGGGTAACATGCTCGAGCCATTACCCAGATCTGTTCTGGGACCTTGCAATTTACAAATTAAGCACTGGTATTAGGCGGGAACATCAATGTTATAAAGGCCAGCACTCCTACCTTCCTCAATAATAAATAAATAAATAAATACATTTAAAAAAATTAAATGATTACCTGAGGTAAAGTGTTCAATTAAACAAGGTTTTGATTTTACCTCTCATTGTCCATGTAGAGTTTTTTGAAAACAAGAAATACTCTTTCTCTGGATATCCACCTTCCTACAGTACAACATTCATCTCAAACCCTGATAAACACATTAAAATCAGCTAATTGAGATCTTCAGAAGCACTTGATATTTACAGATAGCTCTAAAGGAGCTGGGGTAAAACTCTGGTAGTCAGATCTTCAAGATTTGGCACATTGCATTACTTAATCATGAAATTCCTTTTGAGGTTCGGATCCTTTCCAAATGAAAAAACAAACAAACAAACAAAAAAAGCTGTTCTAACAGAGTGAAATCAGAAGTCTTCAGATTTGATTCTTTTTGTGAAAACTAGCCCAGTACTCATCCTTTTATACATAAATACACTAACAGGCTATGTCAGTTGAACCGTATTGTAAAGTGTTGCCAGTTTATTCATATTTCCACATTTTGCATTGCATAATATGCCTATTGTGTTCATGGGGCTGGTTTGTGGCCATTTATGTGCTTTGTCTTTCTCTTTGAATAGAAGTTGTTTATCTGGCTGTCAAAAACAATTATGTCTGTTGTGCACCATAAACACTTTACCAGCAGCGCGCACAAATCATCTCTGATTTATTTGAGATGGGTAACAGGGCTGCTGGGAGCTGGCTACGAAAGATGTTTATTAATGTAGATCCGTCACGGCATTTAAGAATTTAATTGTCCATGCTTAATCTCCCTTTATGACATTCCTTCAAGGTAAAGGTTTTTGCACACTGAAGTCGGAAATGTCCTTAAGTTTATATATATATATATATATATATATATATTTGTATCCGTTTGAAAAGAAAGATGAAATATTGTGTCAATCCAATGTAAGAAGAGTTTAACACCTTGTCAAATAGCGAAAATCCCAAAGATACCAAAATCCAAAGTTGTTTTCAGGAAATCAGTGGCATTTAAAAATTTGCTTGCATTACTCGAGCCACAAAACACACATATTCATGAACTAATTATTTCTAAGCAGAGACTGGCACTCAAAGGTATGGACACAGACATGCACTCTGGCGAAACAGCCACACGGGAAAGGTGCACAGCAGCCTGCAGGCACTGAAACCAGCATACAGTAGGCCTAGTCTACAGGAGTGGTTCTCAGCCATCTGTCACATTCCTTCTTTATATTACACATTTTGTTTGTCATAAAGTGCTCTGCTTTATGCTCTGAGTGACAGCATTCTGGATTTTGGCTTTTGCTTGTACACCCCTAAAAAACCAAAATGAAAATATTCTAACCCAATTAGATTTTTGGATACGGTGTGTAAATGTGATTGACACAACATGGCATTGAATTAATTTTTAACGTGCAAATATTTCTGAACAATATTTCTGAAATCAGTTTGCAGTGACCTATAGCAGGGGGTTTAAACTCCACAACACTGCAGAGTTTAGATCCAACCCTGCTTCAACACACTTACCTGTGTTTTTCAAACAAGCCTGAAGGACTCCATTAGCTTGATCAGGTGTGTTTAATTAGGGTTGATGCTAGGGCTGCACAATATATTGTTTCAGCATCAGTATCGCAATGTGTGCATCCGCAGCAATCACATTGCATGTGCTGTGTTGACTCTGAATTATAGTTGAGCAGGAGTTATAAAATTGTATTTAATTACTATATTTATAGAGAATTTTTACAATTTATGCAAAAAAAAAAAAAAAGTTTCTAGTCCAAATATCTACATTTTCAAGCAAAAACAAGATTACTTTGCTTGCCCCACTGACAGAGTTTTGTTTGTTTTTAGGAAAAACTTGAAAAGAAAAAGTTGAAAACAGAAAAATAGAGCTAAAATATAAAGTATGAAAAGCATTTTTTGCATTGTGATTTTTCAAAATGTGTACCTAAATACTATTAGATTCCATAGAAAACCATGGAATAGTGCCAACAAAATTATCTTATGACAATATCATATATTGCAATATTTATCGCAGAAAAATAAAATGGCCCAATATCAGGTTTTTCCAATATCGTGCAGCCCTTAAAGCTTAACTGTGCAGGGCTGTGTTTGACACATTTTGACACGTGGCCTATAGTCATTGATTTCCATTTGTTCTCCACATCAGATTGGTTTCATCAAACCACATCCTATTTTGACACGAATCCTGAGGGAGGCAACGGAGACCAAACTTACGTTTGACTCCTACGTCATGCCAATGCTCTGTCCCCCAGTCCCCTGGACATCCCCGAAGAGTGGTGCCTACCTGCTGACGCCTGCCAAACTAATGCGCGCCAGCGATGGAGCCATGCAACACCAACTTCTCCTGGAGAAGACCCAGGAGGAAGATCTCCATGCTGTCTTGGATTCTCTCAATCAAGTGGGCAGCTGTCCCTGGAAGATCAACAAGCCACTGTTGGACATCATCATCTCAATCTTCAATGACAAAGGCAGCGACAAGCTTTCAATCCCTCCACCACTATCCGAAGCTCCCGAAATTCCTCGGTTTAACCCTCACGACCCGTCCTACACCCAGGTGGAGAAGGCCTTTATGAAGCGGGAGGGTATCAAAGCCAAGAAGGTAGTAGCGGAGATGCACAGCCTGCGTATGGACGCACTGTATAAGCTGTCCATTGCCAACCACGTGAGGGACAAGATCTTTTGGTTTCCACATAATATGGACTTCCGAGGTCGTACTTACCCGCTGCCGCCTTATTTTAACCATCTTGGGAGTGATGTGACCAGGGCCTTGCTTCTGTTTGCTGAAGGACGACCACTTGGTCCCAAAGGCCTCGACTGGTTGAAGATCCACTTGGTGAACCTCACAGGGTTGAAGAAGCAGAGCTCGCTGGATGGGAGATTGGAGTATGCTGAAAGTATCATGGAGGACATCCTGGACTCAGCCGACCATCCTCTTGACGTAAGAAGCTTTTTTTTTACTCGTGTAGGTTACTCGTGTAGGTTATCAGTGAATGTTGTTACTTTTCTAGAGAAGTATTAAATTAGAGTGGGACTAAGTTTAATTTGTGAATGATTGGTGACAAAACTTATGAATTAATCTAATTTGTCAAGAAGACTGGAAATTTATTTATTATTTTATTATTTTATTATAATTTTTATGCCGCAGTGTGCATTATTTGTATAATTAACTGTCATTGATTAATTAATTGTGATTTGTAATCATATGAGCAATATCACACTCGTAGCAGTGTGATTATGGCTGTATATCGGCACTGGTGGGAGGCGTGCGTTGACTTGAGGCCACAGGCCGAGTTTCTTAGTGTCCCAGCAGTGACAGTATACAACCACATTGCACTATGTTCAGTGTGATGTTACATTTACACAGTTTGATGGCATAGTCGTTTATATGAAACAGAAAATCAAACATGGAGAGAATTAAAAAACACTTGTAATAGGAACTACTTTCTTCCGCCCTTCATTCACATCTGTAACTGACCGTCAGAACATCTGAAACCATTGCTACTTCATGCTACTTCACTAAAGTCACTTTAGAGCTAGTATTTAAATGATTCTCTAGTGTAATGACTAAAATGACTAGATACCCCTTTAAACAAAGATTTTTCAGGACCAGACTCGAAACCAAGAGGTAAGAAAATGTCCCAGAATACACTAGCCACAGCTGCACCCGGTAGTAAAGGAGATCCACCAATTAGTATTTTTTGTCATTATTAGGAATTTTTACAACAAATAAACAAACAAATACGTTTTAATATATTCATAACCGCGTTATGAATAATTCCTAATAATAACTCCTGTATAGCAGTCCCACAACATTCTGACACTCAATGACACTCGAACACCCTGTCAGAAATGTCTAGTGGCTGGGAATGAGCTTTTTACAGTGTCTATTATAATGTTCATGTTGTTTTGGTGTGTTTACATAGATGAATATGGCCACATAAATGCACAGAACAGTTACGATCTTATTGCCATGATCTTATTATATCATTATGATAACATGATATATGCCTTCAGTGATTTCCTGAAGATAAATACCTAAAAATAACACAACTGGAATAACTACAGCAGTCGCCATCATCTGATCTCATATGAAGCAAAAGATCGCGATGGCATATGATGACGTGTGCAGGTGCTGTAGTGCTGTCCTAGTTCTTAGGGGTAAATTTTGAAGTCCTTACCCTTAACACTAGTTTTTAAGGCGGAAGGGGTAGGGGGTAGAAAAATAGAATTGGGATTGGGCCTATATACCTTTTACAATTGACTCTATGGTATCTATTTTCCAAATCCTAACATATCACATTGCCGGCCTGGAGTTATGACTGAGCCATACTTTTTTGGGTTTTATTGAAATGATTGTCACATCCCTGGCTCCCTAAAGAGTCACATCTCTATTTTGCAGGGTCGCAAATGGTGGATGAATGCAGATGAGCCATGGCAGGCCCTGGCTTGCTGCATGGAGATAGCGAATGCCTCGCGCTCACCCGACCATCACAAATTCATCTCCTATTTCCCTGTACATCAGGTACCGCATGTTTACATTAGCATTTAAATATATTATGTAAAGCCAGCTTTCACTCTTCCATTAAGATGAGATGCTACGGGCGAAAACGCTGTTTATTCATGCACCTGTCATTTGGGAGATTCTTCTTAAAGTGTTATTTCAGTCTAATGGAAAGAAATCATCCAAAGCTTACTGTGCTTATTGATTTTACTTTATTTTTTCGCACTTTTTCAATTTGTGTATGTAGAGTTCAATTACAGTACATATTTCAAAAGGCAGTTTTCTCTAAATCCCATTCATTTTTGTTGCTATAGTGCCTTTACAATGTAGATTGTGTCAAAGCAGCTTAACAGATAGGGGAAAAAAAAGAGAATAAAAAGCCCAGTGGATAAATTACATTTAAAATAACATTAAATAAGTAAACAATTATTACTTTTTTTTTTTGTAACAAAATGTTTTTAAATTATTTTGGGTCAAATAAAGTTAGTAAAAGAGACCTCATTTAAAAAAAAAAAAAAAAAAAAAAAAAAGGGGGGGCGCTAGTGAGCAGGTATGGGATAGGTGGTGTTTTGGGTGAGCTCCGCTAAATTTGATTAACTTAACTGTATTTTGAGCGTCTTTTGTTTGCAAACCGCGTTAAAACATCATTTAATACTTTGTTTACACAAATTTTCTTTCTGTTTTGGTCACGGAGATACGTAAATGGCGAAAAATCTGCGACAATATACCTACACCGGAAAGACAATTGTGAGTAGGCCTGGCGCCTCGTGTACTGATCAGAAATCGCCAGAGAAACTAACCGAGATGGAGGATACAAAAGCTGAAATCCTGTCGCTCTTGAAAAATGACATCCCCACGTTGCTTAGGGTCGAACTGAAAGCTGTTCTTTCGGACGAATTTAACAACATGAGATCGGAACTACAGGCTGTCAAAACTGAAGTTGTCGGCAACATCACCCTACTGCGATCTGACTTTGAAACCATGAAAAAGACGGTTACTGAAATAGAACACGGGCTGTCTACATGTTCGGATGATGTGACTACATTACAAAAGTCAGTGAGAGAACTTGAAACGGCTGTTACGGCGTTGCAGGAGAAATGCACTGATATGGAGGGTAGGATGAGGAGGTCGAACATACGTATACTGAACGTGGCAGAAGGACCAGGCTCGAGCTCTCCAGATTCAGTCTCAAAGTTGTTAAAGGAGGTCCTAGAAATTGACAGAGAGATACTCGTGGATCGCTCGCACCGTGGCCTCCAGCCCAAACAGCCCGGTGGCAAACCTCGGGTAATTGTGGCCAAATTACACTACTACAGGGACTGTGTCGAGATTCTCCGCAGAGCAAGAGAGACGGGACCCCTCAGATTTAAAGGATCTACAATCCTCATATTTCCTGACTACCCTCCAAGCGTGGCTCGCGCACGATCAGCGTTTAATGATGTCAAGAAGTTGCTTCGAGGACGAGACGGAGTGCGTTATGGTATTCTCCACCCAGCAAAACTCAGGATCACTTACAATGGAAACGAGAAGGATTTCTGTGACCCAGAAGAAGCCATGACATTTGTGAAGAGAAATATCGTCTTGGACAATGTTGAACATTAGACAAAATATTGTGCATCTGACGGGCGAGGCTACTGTATAGAACAGACACTGAACTTGCATTACAGATATTCAACGTGCTTCAAAAAGACATTTATTACTTACTTTCCATTTCAAATTTTTTTTCTATAAATGGTGAGCAGATGGCATCTTTAGAATTCGAAGACGCAACGAGGTTGTAGAAAGCAAACCTTTTTTTTTTTTTTTTTTTTTTTTTTTCCCTTTAAATCTTTTAAAGTCATCTACGTTCTTAGTTGATTATTATTGTGTTGTGTAAACCGACCACTTTAAGTTAAATATAGTGAAATAAGGTTACACGCTCTATATTTATGTTTGGTTTAGGAGCGCCTGCTACACTGTGATTTCTCCAAAACAAACACTTAAATGTGTGGAAACTTAATCAATGGGGTTGGGAGTCACTCTGTTCATTCGAGTGACGTGTGGGTGGGTTTAACAGCACCAGTTTTACATTTTATAAATTACTTTATGTACCTTTTCTTTATTAAGGGGGAGGAGAGATTTCTGCTTCATTTTTCAAATGATTAATAAAATGAATAAATCATCAGGCTGCAACATTAATATTATTAGCTGGAATGTTAAGTCCTTAAATCACCCTGTTAAGCGGAAAAGTGTACTTTTGCATTTAAAACAACTTAAAGTAGGGATTGCTTTTCTTCAGGAAACGCATTTGCGTAAAATAGATCATTTTAGGTTAAAATGTGATTGGGTGGGTCAATTATATCACTCTAATTTTAATTCTAAATCTAGGGGAACAGCAATCCTTATTGAAAAAAATGTCCCATTTGAGGCCTCGATGGTAAAAGCAGACCCTGCAGGTCGCTTCATCATTGTTATTGGCAAACTTTATAATATCTCAGTCATCTTAGCTAATGTGTACGCACCAAATTATGATGACAGTGTTTTCTTTACAAATATCTTCTCTAAACTAGCAAATTTGGACACACACTCTTTGATATTAGGAGGAGATATGAATTGTGTAATGTCATCCTTAGATCGTAGTTCAGTTAAAACTACTCCCTCGTCAAAGTCAGCTGAGGCCATTAAAACATTTATAGATACATATGGGGTATCAGATATTTGGCGATTTCGTAATCCTGTGTCTAGAAGCTATTCTTTTTTCTCATCTGTCCATCAGACATATTCCCGCATAGACTACTTTTTTCTAGATAATAATCTTATACCTCTGATTAGCTATTGTGAATATTGTGCCATTGTTATCTCTGACCATGCCCCTTTATTAATGACGCTGTGCATCCCAGTCACACTTGACAAATATTGTCCCTGGCGTTTAAATACATTACTGCTTTCAGATGAAACATTTACTAACTTGATATCCTCTAAAATTAAAATATTTCTTGAACTTAATCAAACACCAGAAACATCTTTCTCAGTAATATGGGAAGCTATGAAAGCATATTTAAGAGGAGAGATAATATCCTATAGTTCCTATATTAGAAAAAAACAAAGAGTCAGGCTTGAGGAATTAACCAATGCTATAATTAAATTAGATGCCACACTAGCCCTTACACCATCACCCACCCTAAATAAACAAAGATTATCGCTTCAAACTGAATATAATCTTCTAAACACCAAACATATTGAGAATTTATTAAATAAAACACGTTATAGAATATACGAACATAGTGAGAAGACGGGTAGAATTTTAGCTCATCAGTTAAGACAAAAAGCAGCAGATCGCACTATTACCCAAATAATAGATCAATTAGGCCAAAAACATACAGAGCATCAGCAGATTAATCAATGTTTTTATGAGTTTTACTCAAAATTATACAAGTCAGAATCTCCTAAGGACCCAAATTTGCTCTCATCTTTTTTTGATAAAATTACTATTCCTTCAATTGATAAAGAGACTGCAGCCGAACTTGAGGCCCCTTTTTCAGTTCAAGAAATAAATGCCTCAATATTGTCAATGCAAAACTCTAAGTCACCTGGACCTGATGGGTTTCCGAGCGAATTCTATAAAAAATTTAGGAATGACTTAGCTCCACTGTTGTCAAATGTATTTGGGGAAGCATTTTATTCTGGGACTCTTCCTCCAACTATGCAACAAGCAGTCATAACGCTTATCCTCAAGGAAAATAAAGACCCTCTCGAATGTGGCTCTTATCGCCCAATCTCTCTTCTCAATGTAGACAGCAAAATCCTGGCCAAAATGTTAGCTCGTAGGCTGGAAAACGTTCTGCCTTCTGTAATATCGAGTGATCAAACTGGGTTCATTAAAAACCGGCAACTATTTTTCAATATACGAAGACTCTTAAGTATTCTTTATGATCCCACTCCGTCTAATACTTCTGAGGTACTACTATCGCTTGATGCTGAGAAAGCATTTGACAGGGTGGAGTGGGACTTTCTTTTTTATGTTTTGGAAAAATTTGGGTTTGGTTCAAAATTTATTCATTGGATTAAAATAATTTATAACTCACCGGTGGCGGCAGTGCGAACAAATAATAATCTATCTCCTTTTTTTTCTTTACAACGTGGTACTAGACAGGGCTGCCCATTATCTCCTCTTTTATTTGCATTGGTAATCGAACCACTAGCCGTGGCTATACGAGAGAATACTCTAATTAAGGGAATATATAAAGGGAATGTTGAACACAAAGTTTCTTTGTACGCAGATGACATGCTTGTATACTTATCTCATCCACTTACAAGCTTGCCAGCACTGATTGGACTTTTAAATGATTTCGGGAAAATTTCGGGTTATAAAATTAATATTAAGAAAAGTGAACTTATGCCGGTGAATTGTACAGCTTACACAACATTATCTAACTCATTTGCGTTTAAAATAAGTACCGAGAAAATTAAATACTTGGGTGTCTGGGTTACTCATAAATATCATAAACTTTATAATGCTAACTTTAGCCCACTTATACATAACTTAAAACAAGATCTTGATCGTTGGAACCTGCTTTCTTTATCTTTAGGAGGTAGAATTAACACTGTTAAGATGAATATACTGCCTAGACTGCTATTTTTATTTCAGTGTCTTCCAATTTTTTTAACCAAGTCTTTCTTTAACAACATAGACTCCCTTATATCTGATTTCATCTGGAATAGGAAAATACCTCGCATGCGTAAAAATTTATTACAAAGACACTGCTCTTTTGGTGGGTTATCTCTCCCAAATTTCCAACATTATTATTGGGCTTCTAACATTAAATTTATGTTGTATTGGATTAACCCTTCTGATAATCCCACATGGTTACAACTAGAAAAGGCTTCTTGTAAATTTGCATTATCTTCTTTACTCTGTTCTAAGATTCCTCTTCCTGATCCAATATCTAGATACTCTCCGAATCCAATTGTTAAAACATCTTTTAAAATATGGCACCAATTTAGACGAGCTTTATCATTTACTGATCTATCCATGCAGGCCCCTATTATAAAAAATCATATGTTTACTCCTTCGATTGCAGATGCTACATTTAATTGCTGGATAGAAAAAGGGCTCACCACACTGAATGATTTATATAGCGATTCCAATTTCATGTCCTTCAACCAAATAAGAACAAAATACAATATCCCTAAAACACATTTCTTTAGATATCTACAGATCCGCAGTTTTATGATTTCTAATACAGTAGATTTTCCAACTTTACCTACAGAAACATTACTTGACACCATTTTAAAAACCAATCCAGTTCTCAAAGGTAATATAGGTGTGATTTACTCTTTTATCTCCTCACAAAATCTAACTTCAGTAACAAAGTCGAAACAACAATGGGAAAATGAACTTGAGTTGACCCTCTCGAGGAAATTTGGCTAGACATTATAAATAAGATTCATTCAACTTCAATTTGTTTGCGACATACAATTATTCAGTTTAAAGTGGTCCATCGCCTTCATTGGACAAAAGCAAAATTAGCAAAATTTTTACCAACTATAAATCCCCTATGTAATAGATGTGACGTAGAAATAGCTAATCACACACACATGCTTTGGTCATGCTCTAAAATTACCAAGTTCTGGCAATTAATATTTAATTTTTTTTTCAAATGTTTTACATGTAACAATTGACCCTTGCCCTGTTACAGGAATATTTGGTTTAATAACAGATCCCGGTTTAGACAATAATACCAAAAGCATGATTTCTTTTTCAACATTAATTGCTAGACGTCTTATACTGCTCAAATGGAAGGACAAATTTCCTCCAACTTTTAATCATTATATTAGGGACCTTATGTACCATCTTACAATGGAGAAGATTCGGTACTCTACCAAAGGTTGCAGCCAAAAATTTCATCTTATTTGGCAGCCAGTGTTGACATATATAAAACAAATGGATCAAAACTTAATTTTTTCAGTTTGACCATTATTTATGGGTTTCTCACATTTTTTTCCCTCCATTTTATTTGACTACATTTTAATTTCTATCTAAATTATTTAATTTCTTTGTTTTACATTTGCTAAGCCTATTGTGACTCGTTGTGTGCGTATATATGTACAATAGATGAGTGAACATATAATGGAACTTTTGTCTATTTGTATTGTATGTATGTATATATTGCGACAGAATGTAAAACAGATTAAAAATAGGCATAACATATTGTTTATAAACGGTGCTGTGGGGTGGGGGGGCTCTGTTGGAGCAAAGATCATTTTTCTCTGTTTTTCAATTACTTTTGAAATTGATGTTTTATTGACCAAAATGTTAATAAAAAGATTTGAAAAAAAAAAAAAAAAAAAAAAAAAAAAGAAGCTTAGTCATCTCAAACTTTTCACCAATAGTGTATAGTTTGAGCAGTTTTACAGATGGGGTGTGTTCACAAATAAACTAAAATTGTTATTATTATTATTTACTTTAATAATTACTTAGATAGATAGATAGATAGATAGATAGATAGATAGATAGATAGATAGATAGATAGATAGATAGATAGATAGATAGATAGATAGATAGATTTACATGTTTAAACATACATTTTTGAAAACTTGTAATACATATAAACATCTACAGTGCCTATTATAATCGCTCAACAGGGTAAATATGTTGATGACAATTACTTTATTTTTTTACCGTGTTCACCTGCAGAGTTTGTGTTTGTCTTGTGTTTGTCTGTCAGGACGGATCGTGTAATGGCCTCCAGCACTATGCTGCCCTCGGGCGGGATGTGATCGGCGCTACCTCAGTGAACCTCATGCCCTGTGCTCTTCCTCAGGACGTGTACAGTGGTGTGGCTAAGCAGGTCAGTCTGTGGCACCAGGGGGCGGCAGTGCCTCTCCATGCCCTCCAGAGCTGTGTGTTTTCAAGCCTGTGTTTGACTTCAGATGCACCACTGTTTAATCAATAAGACTCAGATAACACTTCAGTGACCACCCAATCACACAAGTAGCTTTCTTATAAGTTCATTTAATATCTGCCCTAGTATAATTTTATGACTTGGACTCTCAAAAAATATATATAGCTTAGAGGGGCTAATAATTGACCTTAAAATGGTGTTTAAAAAATAAAACTGTTTTGTTCTATTCCAAATAAAACAAATAGGACCTCCTCCAGAAAAAAAATATGATCCGACATACTGTGAATATGCCCTTGCTCTGTTAAACATCATTTGGGAAATATTTAAAAAAGAAAAAATTTTCAAAGAGAGCTAATAATTCTGACTTCAGCTGCATATTTATAAATGATCATATTGTTATTATTATTATAACCATAGTACTATACTTCAAACTATTGTATAGTAGTATTATAGTGTTAATATTTATATTTTATATATTATACAAATGATATTTATATTTATACATTAACCTTTACTAATAGTCATAATACTACTAATAGTACTACTACTAATAAATATAATAACGTATAAAACTTAAATATTAAAACAATAAGCTAAAAACGATAAGTAAACAAGTCTGTTTACTATATAAATAGTCATTTGTAATTGTTCATTATAATTGATATATTTTGTTGCTTCCTAACAGTTTGTTATTTTTGAGCATATTATTAATTATTTTAAACAATTTTATATTGTCATATTTATTATTTTAATTGTAAAAACATCAATTATCAAATTAAATTATAGTAACTAATAAAGTAATTTTAATAATTATAATAATCATTTCTAATTATAATAAAATATTACACATGAAAAAATATTCAAAATAATCACATTATGAATTAAATGTAATTATATAAAATTATTTAAATAGTAATACTATAAATAATAACAAATATTAATAATAATTTCTGTGTATAATTGTTAATATTTATGTAGCTGTAACTTGTGCATGCTGTTTTTGTTATTGTAGTAAATTATACAATATATGCATTTATATCATTATTTAGTATTGATATATTTACTACAATTACTGAAACCAGACAAAACATAAACGCTTTAATATACAATTAGAATAGCTATAGCGAATGTATTTATTATTTATTTTAATATGTAATGTTATGTTTCATAATTACCAATTTTAGTTAGGATGTATCATAATGAAATAAAATACTATCATTTAAAATTATGTAATTCAGTGTTATTAATAACGTGTAATCACCGATAATATTTCTCATTTATTTTTATTTTTCTACTTCTCTACTGAAGTCTGAATCAAATCTGAATATTGATCTAATAATAATCTCTCAGTTCCTCATCTCAGAGCTCCAGTTTTCTTTTCTTGGAAGTCTGAGTGTATTTTTTTTTCCGAGAACACAATCTGAGATACATCGACCTCCCTATCGATTTGCCTATATTTAGGAACACAGTATATGCTCTAAATACACCATTCTATGCTGTTCTTTCCAAAAGCCATCTGCTGAGTCAAAGTTTGGCCTAAACAGCTTCATTGTGCTTCAGTTTTGGTAGGCTAAGCTCTCCAGAGCCCTAATAAGACTATCAACAACTTTTTACACCTCATCTGTGTGTGTGTGTGTGTGTGTGTGTGTGTGTGTGTGTGTGTGTGTGTGTGTGTGTGTGTGTGTGTGTGATTAATGAAGCTGCTCCTCCTTTATGCAGATCAGGATATTTTTAGCTGACGGTTAAGGACAGTTTGGCTGATTCTGTTATTAGGGATTTTGTTTCTGAATTACAGCTATTAATGTGTCAGAGAGCGTTGATTCTCAATCAGGGGTCTCTTGCGTCCTTGACAGTTTAAAAGTTTAAATATGATGATGAATAAAGCGGTCATGATTGGTGCATTATTTTTGGTACTATGTATGGTGCACAGCTAAATTGCTTAAATGTGTAGATTTTATGATTTTTTTTATTATTACTATTTATTTATTTTTAATATTAATATTACTATGTCCTTATTATTATGTGCTTAATATATTGTAGTCAATGTGTTTTTTATTAGTTTTGTTATATTTTATTGGTGCAAATAGCAGGCCCCCTAATTTTTCAAGATTTTTTGTGATTTTCTTGTAATAAAAATTATTTTGTGGTGGTAGTTCCCTGAAATTTGTTGCACATTTTGCGATTAAATATATAAAATTTACCATATTAGGTAGTCTACTGTGTTAGGTGTGCAATCAGACACAATGGCAATGACACAAATCAAAAAATAAAGCTTCTTTATTGTGTTCTCTTGTCAAGACAAGATATAAAACAGATCTGAAACTGGAAGGTTGTATAACTCTTATTTTTATTTACTATCTTACTTTCTCTCAGATTTCACTCCCCGGAGCAGCTGACATCATGTACCTCACTCGGGACATGCATAAGGGTGTTCCCTACCATAATACACCTAAAAAACGAGTTGCTGTAAAATTCTTCAATGGCAGGAAAGCGTTTTCTCTTGTCTTCGACAGAGAAAGAGTTAAATGAAAACATTTATTGATTTTACGCACACCATAATACCAGCTATAAATGTAAAGCACAAATAATGTCCTTCAATTCGGTCATGTCTAATAGCCTAACATCTCCATCATTTTAAGCTGCCTGCTTTTCTGTCCGTTTCATTGCTCCGTTTGTTAGATGTTTGCTCCCACTTTCTTTTGCAGTCTGAATTATTTAAATTTTTTGTTATTTATTTTGTGATTAAATTTAGAATTTAGCAAGATTGCAAAAAATTGTGACTGTTGATTTTGTTAAATTCAGCAATCACAGAATCACGTAACTCTAGGGGATCTGCAATAACAATTTTGTTTATTATTATTATATTTAAAGTTTAGATTTTGTTAAGTAGTCATAATAATAATATTAATATATTATTATATATAATATAATAATTAATTAATAATATAATATTAATATAATAATATTACTATTATTACTATTACTATTATTATTTAAAGTGTTATTACTAGTAGCTTAATTTAGTTGATTTAGTTTTTTTCTTTATATGTTATAGATTTGAGCAGCGGCGTAGCAACCGGTGGGGGAGGGGGTGGGGAGGACGTCCCTCCATTATTAGAGACAGATCATTTAGAAACCGGTGAATAATAATAAAATGAACGTAAAATTCCACATTAAGCTGTGAAAAGGTTGACTGAAACTGTACTTGCTTATTAATGACACTAATAAATATAACATTTTATAAATTTTTAAATAACCATCAATATGATATTAGTGAACCCCATTGACTATCCTGCCATGACACATTTCCTAACACAATAAATATGTGATGAATAAGTTTATTGACTCTTGGCTCTGTCAGGTGGAAGAGTTCAGAGTCCGGGATGCAGAGAGGGGTCTGAAGATTGCGCAGGTGCTGCAGGGCTTCATCAGCAGGAAGGTGGTGAAGCAGACGGTCATGACGGTGGTCTACGGCGTCACTCGCTACGGGGGACGCTTGCAAATCGAAAAGCGGCTGAAGGAAATCGATGATTTTCCTAAGGTGAGGCTCGTTGCGCTTTGGTTAGATTTATCAAAGATGGAATAGCAAACTGCAGGAAAGATGCAAAAAATCCTCAGACTTCCACAAAAAACAAACCTGGGCAAAGATGTTGAGATACGAAAGCAAATATGGACGCAACATTCCAAGCCCCGAACCAATATTTTATTCATATATTGTAATTTAGAATAAAGTTAGAAATATTTAGTGTTTTCGAAAACTGTTCTGTAGATTGTTTTTGTGTTTTTTCTATTAAGAATGGTCTTAACAGTTATTGAAAATAATAGTCAGAATATAATTGCACAGGAATTGCAAGGCGAGACCCTTTTTGTCCACATTTGCATTCCTTATTAGAAAGGCATTAGTTCTTAAGGTCTTTGCCCACTGAAGTCCGAATTTTTCGTATGCGTTTTTTTTTCTATCTGAAAAATTTGTGACATAACCAAACCTTGCTCACTAAGTCGGATGCATACTAATTAATCCATTCTAAAAAAAGCATTGCAAACAGCGATCTTCTCCTCTTTCTTTTCTAAAGAAAAAAAAGAAACAGGAAAATGCTACTCGATGTGTATTCAATAAAAGGAGAGTTCAGCTCATTATCCACAAATGCAAAGTTCATTTAAGGAAATCAGTGGAATTTTGATGCATTGCTTATGATACTTTACAAGTGTACATACTGTACGTGAACAAATTCCAAACAAACTGGCAGTATCAATAGACATTATAATAGATGGCAGCCATGTTGACCTATTAGAGGTACAGAATCCAGCATATAGGGGTTTCTGTATTATATTATGCACTGCATTTGTCACTGTGTTTGAGTTATCTGTGGCATCAAGGGATGGCGTTTTGTATTTTGCCTTTCGCTTGTACGATGGCTCTGAACTGTCAAAACACCTCTCAAAGCGCTTTTTCTGATGCAAAAACTGAAAAAAATCAAACTCAGTTCGAATTTTTTTTTTTTATGATGGACAAAAGTTTTGTGCAGTGTAAAAATACGATTCACACAATGTACTGTTGAATTTATTTTTTAACATTCTAAATTTATGCACAAACATTGCGAATTCAGTGTGCTTTATTCTATATCTCTAACCCTACCTTTGACCCAACTACTAACTTAAAGATGCAGTATGAAAAATTGACAGTGGTTGAACTAGGTTGTGAATTTCAAATTCAATACACTTTTTCACCCGGCTCACACTCTTCTGACAACTCCATGCAAATGCAGGATGCCAGATGAGCAAGCCACCAACATGACCAAGCGTGCAAATTTATATACATATGTTTTATGTATATTAAAATATACATAAATATACAAATTTATATAAATATGCATACATGCATACATATGTATATGTATGTATGTATGTATATATATAAAAGCAGAACAATTCACAAATATCTCCAAATATTATGGTATTTTTATGCTTTAGAATAGTCAAAAACTTACATATAGCACCTTTAATGTCTAATAATAAAAGCAAATTAGGAGTTTATAGAATCAAAAGTCATAGATGTTAATAGCAATACTACTACTTTCAAATAAAGTTGCCATATTAAGCACAGCTCTGTCTAAAACTCCCCAAGAAGTCAGTCATGAACACAAACAATGATTTTGCTGGAAAACTCTCAATCTTATTTCTATAACCATATCTCAAATTATGTAGCCACACAAAGTCCCATTTTCCCTTACATTTTCTTCCATAAAATCTGCCTGTTCAGCCGTTTCCACTATTTCATTTGGAAGATACGAATCTTGCTTTACATACAGGTGAACGAGTTACTTCTCTGTCTGTTTGCGTCGGTCTTGATTTCCCCAAGTGGGCCACCATAGAAACGGGTGACGCTGCTTTCGTCTCCGCCAGGCCTCGGAGAATGAAGGAGGAATTATCACCTGTAGAGTCGGGGGACCTCATCGCCAAATTCTGCTGGCTAAAGCAAAAACTTTTAATTGTTGAGCTAAAACACGTTTTGTTGGGTTTCCTTATTCAAGTCTCCAGCCCTCTTTTAAGACTTTTTGCTTTGTTTGAATCTTCTTGTTTTCTTTGGCTTCTACTTGTTATACTATTCTCTTAGTTCCAATGGTCAGGACCAAAATTTTAAATAATACATTTTGTTCACATAGTGTTCACTAGGGATGCCACAATATTCAATATAATATTGGACCTCCACTGTTCAATACACATATGTAAATATTTGTAGTTTGAATTTTATTGCGTTGTGTGGACATGCTGCTCAAAATGATTATGTTTGTAATGTTAATTATTTGCTAATTAAAAGCCACATGATGTGGATTTTTATCTCGTTTTGGAGGCTAAAAATGGTTTTCCACCATGGCAGCCCTGGGGTGCTGAAATATAACTGGGTAAACTGTCAGAAGGCAGGTTATAGAGACCAAAACGAAGACGTTCTGACACCGAATGCAGATTTTCAATGCAAAATAACTGTCTTGTCGTCAATCCCAGTTGTAGAGCAACAAATAATAACCTAACTTTTAGTTGATGATTTGGAAAAGTGGTAGAAGGCATCCCAATCATCACAAATACTACAGAAGACATATTAAACCTGCATGGACCAAGATTCTCATAGAAATTAGTCAAGTTTGGTGAAGGCAAAATCATGGTTTGGGGTAACATTCAGCATGGGAGTGTGCAAGAGATCTGTGGAGTGGATGGCAACGGCCTGAGGTATCAAGACATTTGTGCTGCCCATTTCATTACAAACCAGAAGAGAGGGCAAATTCTTCAGCAGGATAGCGCTCCTTCTCATACTTCAGCCTCCACAAAGTTCCTGAAAGCAAAGAAGAACAAGGTGCTCCAGGATTGTCCAGCCCAGTCACCAGAAATGAACATTATTGAGCATGTCTATGGTAAGATGGAGGAGGCATTGAAGATAAATCATCAAGAATCTTGATGAAGTCAGGGAGTCCTGCAAGAACGCTTTCTTTGGCCTCTTTCCAGATGACTTTATTAATAAGTCATTTGAGTTTGCAGAGATGCACAGTATAAATGCAGTCGTCCAAGATAATGCGAGTGATACACAATATATATATTTTTTTTGCACTGCACCAAGACTTTATATTCTATACTGTACAATATTTTGTTAGGTGCCAAAACTTTTGTCTAAGCAAAGTCAGACTTTCTATCCTAATTAAATAATTAAAAATCAAGGCATGATCAAATTTTATTTTGGTTAAATAAGTGTAATCTAGAGGCCTTTGCCTTTCACATAAGCCACTTCTGATACCAAATGATCAACTAGAAGTCAAGTTATTATTTGTTGTTTCTAAAACTTGGATAGGCAACAAGTCTTTTGTCAGGTAGTGTACATTCATTTTGCATGTTGCCTAAATATCTGCAAACATATGCTATTTTTATGCTTTAGATGAGTTAAAACTTGCATACATCACCTCTAATTACTCTAGACTAACTCTGTGCATGTTTTAAGGCATGTCCCTGTGCAATGACCAATCAGTGAGCGCTGAAGTTATGGATTCTTTCACATGAAAGAGAAAGTGATGTGTGCTGCATTTAATTCACAGCACTAGAGCACATGAGACCAAAGTGTATGTTGCTATCCATGTTTAAACTAAATTCATAAGCTTCTATTAAGTAAACATTGCAGCTCAAGAAGCGAAGAGAAATTTGAGAAGTGCCCTTATATGAACTTGTATATGATTGCACAATTAGTCTTTCTTCTGAACAAAAGCTCAATTCTTTTAATATTTATGACTAGAATTCAATCGGTTATGCCTTAGAATATAAACATTTGAGAAATGATGTATTGTCGGTAACTGTGCTCCATCTGATTCCGATTTCACGTGAACTACAAAAAAAAAAAAAGATTTCATTTGGAAGGGGATTTATTACCTACTCATATGTTTAGTCTCAGTCTGCTTATTTTGTGCACACCAGTGTTTAATCAAATAAACCACACTACCAAAGAAATCACAATAAAAACCAGGTCAATTGAAGCAAAAATTGCAAGTGTGAACAATGCCTTAAAGTATCATCAAATTAATTATTCATGTTCTAATATGGCCTTTCAGGTTCAGATTAAGCATTTAGCATTATTGCATATACATAAAATAATAATAATAATGATAATAATGTGCTAATTTGAATCCACAGGACTATGTATGGGATGCTTCACATTACCTGGTGGTACAGGTTTTCAACAGCTTAAAGGAAATGTTCACTGGAACGCGGGAGATTCAGGTACACTATTTCACTTTAATTATAAAGTAGAAGTATTTTGTGGGAAGATTTGCTCTTTACCTGCAGACTGAACAAAAATAATAGTAATTCAGGAACGTCAACACCTTTTATGTTTGTTATATTTTTTATACTTTTATTGTTTTAAGTTTTTGTTTTGTTTTTAGTGTTGTTTATTTTATTTATTTATTTATTTTTTCCGTTTCGTATTTTGTTTTGTTTTTAATTTTGTTTGGTTTGATGCCATTTTGTTTGGTTTTATTCCATTTGTTTTGTTTTGTTTATTTTGTTCCGTTTTGTTTTGGTTTAGTTTCATTTGTTTTGTTCCATTTTTGATTTTGGTTTGGGTTTTTTTCCATTTTGTTTTTGGTTGGGTTTTGTAACATTTTGTTTTTGGTTTGGTTTTGTTTTATTTTGTTTTTGGTTTGGTTTTGTTCCGTTTGTTTTGTGTTGTTCCATTTTTTCCAGTTTTGTTCCATTTTGTTTTTGGTTTGGTTCCTTTATATTTTGTTACGTTTTGTTCCATTTTGTTGTTTGGTTTGGTTTTGTTCCATTTGTTTTGTTCCATTTTGTTTTTGGCGGTGTTTGGTTCCTTTTTGTTTTGTTTTGTTCCATTTGGTTTGGTTTGGTTTGAGTCCATTTGTTTTGTTTTGTTCCATTCATTTTATTTAATTGTATTGTTTCATTTTCATTGTTATTCTTTCTTTCTTTATTTATTTTTTGTTTGTTTTTTTGGTACTAAGTTAGCATATTGCATTGTATCATTTGAAAAGATGTGTAACTTTTCTGAAGTTTTCCTATATACAAGTTGATAAACTTTATATTTTGTTTTTTTAATATATTATTCTTTGCATATTACAACAAAATATTTTATAACCAAAGATCATTCCATGATATCTTCATAAATTCTTCAAATTATTCTCAGGCATTGCTATTTTGGGAGTAATTTTAGAGAGAGCCAACCAAAAAAAAAAAAAAATTCTATTAATTTACCCACCAAGTGGCAAGATTACTTTTTTCTTGTGATGTGACTATCATAAGGGCTGCTGAAAATTCACCTTTGCCATCACAAGCATAAATTAAATTTTTTAATATAATCAAATATATTCTCGTTATTAAAATAAATAAAAAACAATTGTTTTGCCTTTTCGTGCTTAAAATATTGAATCATCATAACGAATTCAAAATTGTTTCAACCCCTGAGCAGTAATCTTTATGTAGAGGATTTCAAGCAAAAAAAATCAAACTCTTGTTGCTTCTATTTTTTTTTTTTTTTTATAAAACAAGCTTATTTTTATGAATCGCTAGATATAGTTCTCCCATGATGCATCTGGCTGCAGCTCATGAATTACTGCTGCAGGAAACAAAACAAAAAAGCAATGAACATTCCTGGTGCCGTAGATCAAGGACCAGCCGTTCACTGTCTCCTGTTGCAGCCCCCGGGGAGACACACACACAGACAGGCAGAGCGAATGTGAAATATCCCCCACTTCGCCTACAGACACAACCAGCTTCCTAAATAGGTCAGATCCTCAGGAGGGCTGGCAGTTCAGCCCAGGTAGTTGATCATTGATGTTACCGGCAGAAGGTGATACAGGAGCGGAAAATGGGGGGCTCTGATGAATGAAGCCACTTTAGGCCCGGCCCCACTTCCAGATGAGCAGAGGAATTTATCTCAGATGTAGCGTTTCGGGGAGAGCACTGGGGAGGACGCCACTCCGGCTGCCAAGATGCGCAGGTAGCACTGTTGCTTAGGATCAGCAGGTTCTTTAAACGCTTCCTCTCAGCAACAACTGCCCACCTGTGCATCTGGAGTTTTACATCTAGCACAGCCAGAGACTTCCTTTTTTTATCGTGTTTGTTCAGATTTTTTTTAACTAGTACAGCTGTAGAGTACTTTTTATCGCAACCACTTTGTCACAACTACTCTTCAGCAAAAGTTAGCAATAAAGAACGTTAACAATAAAGTATAAATAGTTTTGTAGTTTAGTTTCAGTTTTTTTATTTATTTTATTTTTATTTTTTTTTTGCGATTTGTTTTTGCAATAACTTCTTACCAGTGCATCTCGATTTTTCCAACTAGCACACCAAGTGTCTGTTTTATTGCAACTTCTTTTTAGCAATTTGTTTTTTGTTTTGTTTGTTAAGACGAATTGTTAGTGGATATACTGTAGTATTTCAGTTTGTCTTGGCAACAACTTCCCACCTGTGCATCTGGAATTTTTCAAAGTAGAGCTGGAGACTACTTTTTATTACAACTACTTTTTAGCAATGTGTTTTTGTTTAGTTTCAGTTTCTTTTTGCACTAACTTTCTACCTGTGCATCTGAATTTTTCTAACTAATACGTAGAGTGTTTGTTTTATTGCAGCTATTTTTAGCTATTTGTTTTTTTCTTTGCTTATTTGTTTTTTGTTTTGTTTTGTTTTGTTTTGTTGGTTTAGACAAATTGTCAGTAGATAAAGAATATTTCAGGTTATCTTGGCAACAACTTCCCACCTGTGCATCTGTAATTTTTTTAAAATAGCACAACCAGAGATGTTTTAATGTTTGTTCTGATTTTCTTGCTAGTACAGCTTTTATTGCAATTACTTTTAGCAATATTTTTACTTTAGTTTCAGTTTGTTTTTGCAGTAACTTTTTACATATGTATCTGAATTTTTCCAACTAGCACACATTTTATAGTGGTTTGTTTTATTTAGTGGATATCGAGTAATGTTTTAATAAAAAAATTTTTAACCGCTGTGCGGTTCGCTTTTACACAGCAAATTTTCTTAACGAACCAAAAAAGCTGAAATATGGTAGGAATGACATCCCGCCATACTCATAATTCTCTCTTCATACTGGATAGCCTCTTCATACTATATAACTATTCATAATACACTGTAAGATAGCCTGGTTCATTGAATCGTATTGCTTTCTCACTACAATCGATCTGCTCCGGAATTAATTTTAATCGAGACGAGACCACCTCATTCAGGCGATCTCGGACCGATGTTTTGGCGTGGATCAGAGTGTGATTGCTGGATTCACATATGCCAAACCAACCGTGCTATGGAAGCAAACGTGAATTTTTTTTTTTTCAGTTTGTCGTCACACTTGCTACTTGTGCATCTCAGGACTGTACACTCTCAGAAATAAAGGTACACAAGCTGTCACTGGGGTGGTACCTTTACGAAAGGTATAAATTTGTACCTAAAAGGTCCATATTAATATCTCAAGGGTACATATTAGAACCTAAAAAGTACAAAATAGTTCCTCTTAAAATTTGTAGGTACTAATATATACTTTTTATGTACCAATATGGACCCTTCAAGTACAAATGTGTAAATTTTTTTTTTAAAAGATACCTTTTTCTGAGAGTGTATACTATAGTATCTCTATTTTTTTTATGCTTTCCTGTTTTTACTAATACACCATACAGTTTTTCTATCACAAGTCCTTTATAGCGAGGTTTTCACGAGGATACCAGATTATCATGAAGAAGGGATTTTGTTTGTTTCAGCAACAACCTATAACCAACTAGAAAACCTTTCTTCAATGGTCTCAAACTAAATACCTGGAGAGCCACAGCTCTGCATAGTTTAGCTCCAACCACCTACAACTCACACCTGCTTAATAGTCTAAAGTAGTCATTAAACTCCTTGATTAGCTGGATCAGCTGTTTAATTAGGGTTAGAGCAAAACTGCAGAGCGGTGGCCTTCTAGGGATCGAGTTTGAGACCTGTGCCTTACTTTATTGCAATTTTTACTAGCCCAGTGATTGATTACTTGACTACTATATTTTTAGATGAAGCCATAATCATGATGAATCTTAGTTCAAAATTATTTTGTGATGTAAATGTGGTTTGATCCAGATTTTTTTAAATATGTACATAGTGAATGATTATTCTCTTTTAGGAATGGCTGACGGAGAGTGCTAGGCTAATAGCCAAATCGGGACGGACAGTGGAATGGGTAACACCGTTGGGACTTCCTATAATTCAGCCATATCACCGAATCAGGAATCAAATTGTAAGTTTTTAAAAAGAAACACTCTAACATAAATAGTTTTCCATTTAAACTACCTGGGTCCTGACTTTCGATAGTCCTCATTTAACCTTTGAAGTGACTTTTGTGTGAACTGTGCTTCAAACACCACTGCACTATTGACGAATTAAGGTCATTGTAAGATGCAAGGCTCATACTTAAACAGAAAACCAGACTTTGCATTTTCTCCTTTCCCAAAGACACGGTAAGTTCGGTTAGTTTAGTCATCTTTGAGTTCTTTCACTTCACTTCTTCAGCGGAAATCAGCAGGGAGTCCAAAATCTCTCAGCTCAGCAGGCGGGCTCAACCCTCGCTCTCCATCACGACCTGATCTCAGTAGCACTGCTTGTCAGAAAGGTCTTGTGCAGCTGGAAGTGAAAGAATGAAGGATCGCGACAGAGGTTTTGCATGCAGACAGCCCGTGCTGCTGTCAGATAGCATCAGCAACAGAGCCGAGGCGGCACAGCGGTGGCCTGTAGTGTGTAGTGGGATCCAGCAGAGAGCATCTGGCAACCCGTCTGTGACACCGTCGCTGAGCATTTGCTGCTGCTGCTGCTGTTGCTGGGTGTGGCCCAGCCCCTAATACCAGATTCAGCTTCTGTTTTTAATGCTGAAAGTTTAAAGGGTACCTGTTATGCCTTTGTTTACAAGACGTAAAACAACTATCTGAGGTCTCCAGAGTGTGTGTGTGTGTGTGTGTGATGTTTTAGCTTACAACACTCGGACAGATCATATTTCATAGGTTGTTGAAATTGACTCTTTTAGGGTTTAAGCTAAAATGTGCTGTTTTTGTGTTTGGCCCTTTAAATGCAAATGAGCTGGTTTTCCACCCACTTGTTCTGCATTTTACAAATAAATCAGACAACCTGGATTTTTACGATTCTGGAATCGCTGAATCTAACACAAAATCAGCAAAATGTTCTTAATTTCAACGCAAAATAATTGCAAAAAATTTAAATAATCTTGTAAAACATCCAATTCCAAACCATATAATCAAATTAGATTTATTTTAGCCTGCAATTAATTGTTTTACATGACTTTTTGCGCACACAGCACATGTGATTTATTTGAGTGTCTCTCAAAAAATGACATCTCACCTGCGCCCTCACACATTATTTTACATGGAAGTGGCGAGGAATTGTTTTGCAGCCTGTGGCAGTAAGCAAAAGCGGATAAAGTGTGAGAGATTTACATGTAAAGTCAACGCAAAAATGCAATTAGACATCCTGTGGCGCAAATCAATTCAATTCATCTTTATTTGTATAGCGCTTTTTACAATGTGGATTGTGTCAAAGTGGCTTCACATAGAAGATTAATGGAATTGAAACAGTGTCAGTTTAGTTTTCAGAGTTTACGTTCAGTTCAGTTTAGATTACTTCAGTTCAGTGTGTTTTAAAATTCACTGCTGAGTCACACTGAAGAGTAATCCAGTCGAGTGAATAATGATGAGAATTGGGCATTTTGTGCTTTTGATGCTTATCAGACTGCAAAAAAAAAGCGAGAGCAAACATCTAACAAACGGAGCACTGGGACAGACAGAAAAGCAAGCAGCTTACAATGATGGAGATTTTTTCAAAGATGACAACTGGTAGACATGACCGAATTGAAGGATATTATTTGTGCTTTACATGTATAGCTGGTATTATGATTTGTGTCAAATCGATAAATGATTTCGTTTAACTTTTTCCCTTTTTCCCTATGCTTCCCTGTCATGAGTTATCATCGTTTTAGGTATATTACGGTAGGGGAAGCCCTAACGCATGTCCTGAGGGAGGTACGGGATGTCAGATGCACCGAGGAGTAAAATCTGAGAAAGAGAAAATAAGATCATTGAATAAGAGTCACACAAATGACAATTGGCTTGACAAGAGACCAAAATAAAGAATAATTTATTTTCATGATTTGTGTCATTGTCACTGTGTCTGACCTAGCACCTAAAATAGTAGGCTATATATATATATAATATAATATAATATAATATTTTATATATATATATATATATATATATATATATATATATATATATATATATATATATATATATATATATATATATATATAATTATTATTATTTTTATTTTTTTACCAAAAATTTGTCTGCAAATTTCTGGGAATTGCCACCACAAAATCATAAAATTTTTTTGCGAAAATCACAAAAAAATTGTGAAAAACTAGGGGGTCCGATAAACATTTCTCTATCAGTACAAGCCTGTTTTCTTTACAGAAAACGTATTTAATTTAAAAGTCAGTCATCTATTTTATGCAAAATTGATGTGCGTTTATAATTTACGCAAATGGGAGCGTGACGCTATAAAAATAACCACATAGCTGTTCTCATGTGGCCATTGTGTGCTATCACAAAGGTTTCTCTTGGGATTATGAGCTCGACATATTCGAGTGGTCAACTTCACATTACTTTTATGTTCAATTCGATTATTGGATCAACAACCACATTTGAATTTGCGGCGATTCTTAAAGCAGGTAAAACAATATCAATGCAAATGGGCACAGACAATGGTAGCTTTAGCAACAGTAGCCTTATGTCAAAGTCTCTTTAAGGCAATAATTTTACTCGCCATCTTTGAAACCCCTCTCACGCAGTATGCTTAGGAATTGGGAAACAGCAATTTCTCCAAAACTGTTTGCCAAGCTTACGATTACATTACATATTTGGAACCAAAAATAAAATTAAACATAACAAAATCAGCATGTTTCCAGGTTGCCCAAGCTAATGTGCATGCGAATGCTCACTCGAAAAAAATGAGATCACGACACCAACCTCGTATATGGCCGTGTTACACATTATCATCCTCTGGATAAGGATCGCCAGATCAAGCTGGTCTTCAGAAGTAATTCACAACTTGGTCTTGATAGCAAATCTCCTCCTGAAATGACAGTGACTCTTTGTTTACAAGTTTGTTTAGATGTTTGAGTAGTTGCTGTCATGTGATGTGCATTTGACAGGACAGAATGTACCTCACGTTAGTTTCATAGCTATTACAAACCCAAAAAATTTTAATAGTTGGTTCATTTAAAAGTAGAAATTTCAAGCTTGATGTGGATATATTTATTATGGCTGTCAAGCAAGTATTTGTACAGTATGTTGACCAAAATTTTTTTATAATGCCACGTATCTGGTCTGAGCTTTTCCCCCAGAGAAACATCAATCTATAGCAATCGATGATTGGCTTCTGTACTAGTAAGTGGGACTTTTTCGCCATATTGACCGTTACACTTTTCCCCATTCAAAACTATACAACAAGAGTGACATGTCTTGTGTATTCTATAGTCTTTGCTTATGCTTAGTTCACAGCAAACATAAACAAGTGCATATCTCGCTTTAGATTACTTTTAGGATGTTGTTCCCCTCACACAAATTTTCTGCTTGAGTAATAAAAAATAATAATCTTCCAATAATATCTGTGGAAGACACGATTGAGGCAAATGTCATTTATGTCGTCTGGCAGTAGTTCACCTCTATCTGCACACTTGCATTGACTTACTCGTGCGAATACTTAATTCCGCATTTGGTGGAAAGCTTTTAAAAACTCAATTTGGAAATCAGAATATGACATGTGATACTTCATTTGTTTGGAAAAAGTATTAGTGTTGGTCAGAATTAGCCTGAACTTTTTCTTTACTGTGTGAGAATGGCTCGATATCTATGCTAAAAGGGAAGAGATCATCACAAATGTACAGGATTTGTTACCTACAAAGATGCCAACATAGGCAGAAATGTAGAATACACAACAACTGCACAGCTCAGTTCACCTTATAAAAGTAATTTTTGTGCCAAAAGACCTCTTTAAGTGAAGCCCAGTGCACATCAACCTTTATATGCTGGTGTTTTTTCCAGTGTTTAAATCAACATGCAAAAACACTGGCTCATATTTCCCTGCATTTGGAAGTCAAATGAGTGGTACGTCTGATGTCATTTGGACCCCATTGACATGGGTGTGCCTTTGGTCTAATTCATTCCTCTACAGTTTTGAAGAGCTGCACTCATTCATTCCTCGATCACTCCTGGGAAAACATGCAATGTCATGTGCCTGGCCTTTTCCGTTTTCATCCCTCTGGTCTGTGTATCTAGGCAGTGGAAATAATGTGTAATAGTGTCCTAATGGTCTGTGTTGTCCTCAGTGGGGTTCTGCTGATGTCAAGGTGCCATTGTTGACTCTTGCTTTGTAAAAGTGTTGCTTGCCCTTTTTCAAATGCATGGAGGTAGATGTTGACATCCAAGGCCAGAACACAAGGCAAATAAGACTATAAGATGATGTTATATATATATATATATATATATATATATATATATATATATATATATATATATATATATATATATATATATATATATATATATTAGACTGATTTTCTATATCTGTAGTTTCTATTTTTGATCATAATTTTCAACCCGTTTAAGAGAAGAAAAATAGGATTTTTGTCCAATAACTCATTTTTGAGTTTTTCTAATTCAGGTGTCATGGTCGGGTCTGAAATACTATATCACACTTAAAAATTTATAAATTTTGGGCACCAAATTTTATTGGACTTTATGGAATTTCTGATAAACATTAACTTTAATCAGGAATGTTAATATAATACATTCTTCACATTGTGAAACCTTTTACTTTAAGCTTGCATGCATGTTACGCCCCTTTTACACGGAGCATCAGTGCCAACACTTCCCATTCACTTTGAATGGGTTATGTCAAGCGTTGCTGAACTGAGTTGTTGGTCCGTCTGCGCCGCTTTTGGGTCTGTCTACTCGCTGCAGAAGGTGGGAATTTCTCAACTTTTCAAGCCCCAATGGAAGCGTCAGCCAATTAGATTGCTTCATGCTAATTCTCCAGCCAATTGCGGACTTATTCAGTGGCTGGCGATGGTATGGCGATCGCATCAGCCCCAGCTTCAGACACACCCCCTGTCAAGCTTTAATGCTGAAGCCCTGTGTGAATCGGGCGTTAAACCCCTTTTCATTTGAACAC